CCCCCCCCCCCCCCCCCCCCCACACACACACACAAAAAAAAGCGCGCGCCGCAGCGTGAACCTGCGCGTATTGCGATCTCCCCTCTAATAGTATAGTGATGCGAGCTGATACATTGGCTGCAGGAGTGGAGATAGTAGGAGGGGAGTAATGTGGTGCACGAGCTGTGAGATGAATGGATGTGTATGTGTTATAGGATGCATCCTGAGGCGCATGAAGTGGAATGGAGATTTTTTTTTTTCAATGAAGACGACACATACGCGTCGGATATGAAAATCTGCTGAAAATGAGCTTTTATTGTTTAACCACATGGAGAAAAAAAGTGTACAGGAAGCACTCCGATATGTGTACAAACCGAGCAAAAGTGAACATCAACATCCTCCTCTTATCTTATATAATTACAGAAATCATTCAACCACATTACCTAATGGCATTCTATTTTACACCGATTATTCCACCCTTCTCATCCTGAGTGGACATCTAGACTTCGACTCAGCTCCTATAAGGGCCAATACAGTTGAAATGGTGCCACCTAGTGTTCAGTCTGCACGCGAGGCCAACATTTAGAGAGCTCATCCTCTCTGCGGATGGAGCACAGTTCATATTAAACCAGAGAAAAGCACATCCATCCTACACAACTTCCTTAGTCCTACACATTCTATCACACGTGTAGCTGTTCTCGACATCTGGCGGCTTGCAGATGGATACTGTGCAATTTCTTTTGATTTGGTCTAGTATTGAAATTGTGAAGTCATCCACCTGAAAACAACGAGACAAGCAGTAATGACAAAAAACAACAACAACCTTAATGTTAAGATGCCTGTAGAGTCGAACGTGACTGCAACAAGGAGATGGAGGAGGAGGAGGAGGAGATGGAGGAGGAGGAGGAGGGGTAACAGCTGCTCTCTTGTGCCTGCAGTGAATACGATTTCTGTAGTCTTTCAAGTGTTCAAAGCTTGGAACAACAGAAAACAACAACGAAAAAAACCTGCATCTCTTTCTTTTGGCTGCGGGTCTGAGAAACAGAGAGCTTTGCATGGATTTGCACAGCAGAGACTGAAAGAAGCTGACAGCAAACCAGCAAAACTCGCCGTAAACCCACATGAGCTCCACCTGCAAGCGGGCTGACGTGTGCATGAGGGGAGGTGACCAGCAATACCTGAAGTGCACAAACTGCAGTAGATCCGTGTGCACTACCTGCACTGTGAGCACTTTGGGACTGCAAAGTCGTTCAGGGATCCTTCTGTGCTTTAAGCAGCGTATTAGAACGTAGTGTAAACACCTTATTTCTTATTCTTTGAGGTTTTAAAGATGAATCTGCTCTGTGCAGCTTCTGTCTGTCCATGATCAGTGAAGGTTTATAGGATTAAAACTGCAACAACAAAAAAAGAGGCTACCACATATTGGCTCTAGTCCAACTCACAGAACTAAAACATATTAGACATAAAGCATTTCCACCCAGAGACACAATTGTTTTCAGGGCAGTGGAGAATATCTGAGATCCTGAGGAAGAACGAGCCCTCCAGCCAGAAGGAGCAACTAGGGCAGTAGATACTGAGCTACTTCACTAACTACACTAGATGCACCTTAGCTGGAGGACCCTGAGAGTTAGAGGGGGGGGGGGATTGATGTACTGGATTACTTCCAACTCCTCCGGGCAAGACGCTCTCCCAGTCTGGAGGCATCTGAAAACAGAAACAAAAATCAATTGATGGTGATGTCGACAAATGTTGAAAGCGATCCTATACAGCTCAATGCAGCAGAATGAATACGTTCTCTGCAGGCTGCAGCCATGTGAGGCGGTTAGCTAAACTAAAACATGTACAAGCAGGGATGTTCTCTTCTACACACATCCTCAAGCATTACAAACCTTGAAAAGTCTTCAGTAAAATAATAAGATAAACAAACTTTTGGAAAGGCAGAATCATTTCATAATAAATTGGTTTGCCTTGCAATGACCACAGACTGGACATGGACACTTGATCCATCGCTACAATCACTGAAAACTTCAGATATTAAAAATAAAAACGACAAATACCTTCTGATATAAATGACATTTAAAGGGGACACAAATTGGGAAGTCTAATTCAGATGTTTAATTAGTTTAATGGTCTTAATCTGCTAAATAACCAGTGGCTAATCAGGTTATGTACAAGCACTTACACATTATACTTAAGTACTGGAGTAAATGTATTTAGTTTACCTTCCACCATTGAAAAAAACTTACATCCCAGGTTAATAACATCTTGAAACACTGTTGGAAACCACAGGCTGTTCAGACATAACGGTCCATGCAAAAGCACACACGTGTGTGTGTGTGTGTGGGGGGGGGGGGGGGGGTGTCTTAAAAATAGGAGCAGAAAAAGTCACATTATAGCCCATAATGCAGGTTTTTTCCCCCCTAATAGCTGTTATTGTCTTAAAGTGCAGACTATGGGATGTAACCGAGCTACGGCGAGTTCATACATGTGGTCCGAGCGCCTCTGTGTGCAGCTTTAACAAAGTGGCGCCAACAGCGCATTTGTGATGCGATGATGAAGCGCGTCAACTCAATTAAATAATGATCTCAAAACCGCATCCGCGTTTATTCAGTGACGTAACCGCTACACAAACAGCAGCAGGCGAGCGGCGGGTGGATGGATTTGTAACACTTTGCGGATTAATAAAATAGAGCCTTGACGAGCCCAACGTGCCAGAAGCGACGCCATAACAAAAGACTCGTGCGGAATCAACTTGTAGTCAACTAAAGTTATTGTGACTCACGGAGAACACATTCTGTTTCAACATACGGGTTATTTAAAAGAAAAATGCATTCTATACATTAAGATTAGTGCACAATATTTGTTTTTCTTTAACGAATCAGCAGTCTGAGAAGGAGAAATAGGTACAAAAAAAAATACTTTGATTATTCAAACTTTTTTTAAACGAAAGCAAAGCACCATAGGAGACCACGTGCGTTGATCTGTGTCGGAATAGAGAAATACAACTATTGACAGCCTACCTTTGCTTTGCCTTGGAGGTTTATTCTATCGAGTGACTGCATTGCTGCCCATCCTGCAGGAAAACTCCCCCAATATTTGCCACCACGTACCTTGCACCGCGCAGATGTTGTACCCTCCGCAGCCCTCTTTGCGCCAACAAAAAGTTCTGTCATGCATGAAATTGTGAGAGCATCTTTTCGTGTTGTTTTTCTCTTTGTGGGGGTGGGGAGAGGAACGCAGGCGACGCACTCGATGCGGATGTCGTCAAGAGAAAAAAAGAACCCCTCTCACAAACACGGTACCCTTCGGTTTTTTTAGGTATTTAAAAATGTAGACTTTCCTTCTTTTTTTTTCTTCTGGCGCGCGGCGACCCTCTGGAGAACTTTTTCCCCCGCACATGTTTGGAGACCGTTTGTGTTCACCCAGATCTAGCTCATCCATTTGGCGCTTTGCTGGTCAAAAGGAACCCGGGAGGCTTGTGACCCCGTAACCCCTGTAAAACCCTGCCCCCACGCAGTCTTCTGCTCCGTCTGCAGGAGCACGTCCCCTCCAACCATCCCGCCTCACGTGCACACAGATAGCACTCAGTCATAATGTCTTTATTTGTGTGGTTGTTGCAACATTAAGAGTTTTAGATCGTTACGCTGAAAGACGCAGAGGCTGTCCAAAAAAGAAGCATGGTGGCACTTCCTCCACTGTGGGAACATGGACGCTGCGTCGCCTCACTTGCCTTCTCCCCCGATTGAACTTTAACCCACTTTCCCATACCGCGTGTTTCTCTGCGTCCATACGCTGTTCTTGGCGCACTTTTTTATAGGGGAAAGAAAAACAAACTGCAGCTGCCCATTTTTTGATATTATTCTTTCCCCGAGTGTCTTCGATTCTCATGAGGAACTGGTGATAGAGGAGGGGGGTTAATTACGGTCAGGAAGCGTTTGATCTTATTTACAGGGAAACTAGGGTTAGTTCATGGAAGGAAGGTTTTGCATTATGATTTTAAATGTTACATTTATAAAAGTGTTCTGGTGGAGGAATAATGTTTTCTTTTGGTTCGAGTAAGGGATTATCATTGACCTCCACACAGACAATAGACTGGCTGCCTTTTGAGCAGGCCTCATGTTGGAACCCTCCTGGTAGGGGGGAATGTGTCCCAGTGTTTTGAACTGGGCTTACAACTGGGAGGAGGGGTTATTTTTAGCAATATTCATTTGCATCACTGGATGAATACAAGATGTATTAGACATATTTTTTGACTCGTTTGATTCATCATTTAAGTCTCGGAAATGTCAGAAAAATTGCAAAAAAAAATGCCTAAGAGAATTTCCAAGAGCCCAAAATTGTTTTTGTCCAACCAACCCAAAAGTGTTCATTAAGGGAACGTCTTATCTTAGACTGTTGTTACATACTCTTTTTAAAAGGTAAAGAATGACCTTCCACGCTCAACAATATTCACATTTACAGTATAAACAGAAAACTCTTCTGAATTATTTCTGCTTTCACAATGAATTATGTTTTTTTAAATCCTGTTGATCCACTAACCATTTCAGCACTAACTAGGCCATAGATGTACCAAAGGAGTTTGAATAGCTTTCACAGTATCAAAGCTCAAAGCTGTGAGACCACACGCAGGAGACTCAAGTCACTTTTAGAGAGAGATTGCTTCCACTGTGTCTCGAGTGAAACTGCACAGAGATCAGTGGAGGCATCTTCTACCTCACTTTTCAAAACGTACAGCAGGTCCGTCTCTGAAAAAAATAAAATTGATGTCTCTGTAACTAACTTCTATTATAATCTGGTTTTGTCAGCTCACTCCAAGCCAAATCTCCAGATCTGGAAGATCAATAAAAACACAGCTTCTTTAATGTTAGAAATGTATACAGTTGTAAATATGAACTGTAGGGTTGAATCCCAGGCTACCGAACAGTATCCCTGCTCTACTCCTTAAAGGGCCGGCACACCATCACAGGTGTTTTCACTTGGCTGATTAGACCTGGCTTGGGCGGAGCTATGCTATGATCTCACACTCCAAGCACCAATTAGAATGTGTTGCCCTAACAGCTGCAACACTGAACACGCCCACAGCGTAATGAGAAGAGGCCTAATCAGGTACATTAAGTGGAAACACCTGTGCGGGTGGACCAAACCATGTTCAGGGCCTTCGAGCTGCCTCTGTGCCCACTAAACTGTCGACACCACACAAAAATAAATTTGCCATAAAGTTTTTATTTTCATGAATGCTTTCACACTTTTATCCTTTATAAAGTTATGTACACATTATTCGCTCCCATGGTAAAATAAAGAGAATATCCAGAGTGTGGAAAGAGAAGGGTGGGAAAAAGAAAGAAAGAAGAAGGCAACAGAGTAAAAAAAGTAAAGCACAACAAATATTTAAACAGAGAACTCTAAATCATGGAAAATATATAGTACTGATCTTAAGGAATTTGTGTTGACGTCTACATAATATCGCCAGTGATTTATAAACTCATAATGAGAGGTAGGGTTATAGAAACATGAAATGCTTTGCTGGTACAACTAATAACTGGGCCAATTGATGCCAACAGCGCCCCCTGATGGGACGACTGTGAACAGCACGGCATGACTGGGCTCAATTTAAATCATATTGTGAAGGAGTTTTCTAAGTGAATGTTATTTTCTTTTACACAACAGTCAGATGATCTTGGATATTATTACAGCCTGTTACGCAACAGTTTGTCAGCAAGCTGCAAGTTGGTTTGTGCTCATGTATATATATATATATATATATAGATAGATATTAATAATTACTCTTGTGTAAATGGGGTGAGTCCGATGCATTGGTGTAGTTTTGAAAAAACTGGTTTTCACATTAAATAATCAAAGGAGTTGATCACGGACAGGATTTCTATTTTTTTTTTAAAGAAACTCAAACACTTTCAGACAAACTCTCATAAACTGGTGACATGACGGTGCACTGTGTGCAGGACTTCAGTCTATTTGTGCATAATGTACCACATTCACAGCGGTCCCCAAATGTATGTATTGATCCGTAAAGGCCTGATGATAACCATGTGACTATCTGGTGCAGTGTACCAAATAGTGATTTAAAAAAAAAAAAAAAAGTACAGAAGCTAACAGCTACAACTGAGTGTAGTCTATTAAAACCTTAGAGCATAATGCAGTTGGTGACAGAGCGACACTACACTCGATGTGGATCTGAGAAATGAACTGGTGATGCGTGTGGGACTTGAAGTGTACATCTTTAACCTTTTTCATATCGAAGGTCTGGAATTTTCACATAATCATCACGATCCTTTAAATGTCTTTAAATAAGGCAACGTTCATTACAAGGTAGCACACTGCAATTCATTATGAATTAACGTTTGTGTGGCACCACCCGATGAAATATTTCAGTTTAAAAATCTAGTTTTCCCCATTATGAAAACCAGTCCCCGCTCAGGTTTGAACATATATGCATGTCAAGCTCAGGCATGCATTCAAACCACTGCTGTGTGTTTTAAACAGTCAAATAAAATATATGTTGTCGAGGAAGGAAAGAGAACACAGCATTTGCAAACTCAAATCCCATGAGGTATATACACTAGAAGACTGTCCGCGCACACACACACACACACACACACACACACCGTATACCTTGAAATCCCTAATATGCCATTTCAGTGACAATGGCAGAAGTAAGGCAATTATTTATTTTGAAGAAATGTAACTAATCGGCGATGCGCGCGAGGAACTCGATAACTGCAGTGCTCGTCAGCCAAAACAAACTGTTTTAAAAAGGTGCGTGTGGATATTTAGACAATGCGTTGACATCTGATAGGATGTGCTTTCTGATGCATCAAAAGGAAATGTTACAGTGTATTATATTAAGAGGCATTAGTATAATCAGACCAATAGACTGTTTTCTGTATCATTTGGTGTTAAGAGTAAACAACTGCATGGATGAGTTATTGTTGACATGAGATCAAGGGGATCTTTAGTCAAATCAAATGTCCATTACCGACAGTCTGCCCAAATCAAATCCAGTGCAGCAGACGTTCAATACGAGTCCAATGAAAACCAAATGTGGGAACTTTATCAGGAAAAAGCACTTCCTGCTGACAGTTAGTACAGAGTCTCTTCGGCATGTCCGCTCCCTTTAAATCACCCCTCGTGCTATCATAATAGATTTACAGCGCAACATATTTTTTTTGATGCATCTTCAAGGACAACACCTCCGCGTAAACGGCCATATCATTTCTAGCGTTATGCAGTGCTTATGCTGTAAAGGCGAAATGCCTAATCTGGCATACGTGGGGGTACTTTAAAACCCTGTTAATTCATTGTTGGTTAAATCATCACATGAATGGTTCCTATCCGTGCTCAGTGTGTGAGGATGCGATCAATTGGTGCATCCTGGCTGTCCGTGTTAGCGGATGGCTGGTACCCTGCAGCGTTATCTGATGCCTTGCTTCTATTTCAGTCACGTAAGCCTCGCTGAGCACGGCCTAAACAAATTTTAAAAAAATTTCACAGCGCAATTAATTGATTCCTCTATGGTTTTGATTTCCCCTTCCTGTGCCAGCTAATGCATTGTCGAGTACAGAACTGCAGGATCATTTGTGACCTCACACAACGCAACCAGAATGCCGAACCGCCGACGCATTAAATCACCAAAAATTACTATGTGCTGACCTGGCCAATAAGATCCACGCGTCTCTCCGCCAAAGCCGTATTTCTGAAGATCATTTAAGTCCCTGTACAACACAACAGCTTTACAATAAGGCCATACACCAAACCTATGCCATTAGTTAGACGAAACATTGTTCAGAGAGAAGGGTTACTCATGTCTTAAACTGTTTACCATGAAGATACATTAGAAAAATAATATATTTATATACTCCTCCTCAGCTTCTCCATCTCTAAAATATAGACACGTCTCTGAGAAAGACTTTCAAGAACACACGTTGGCTGTGAAGGTGTGTGTGGGGGGGGACATATGTCATTTTAAGGGTCTCGGTCAGCAACAATGTTTGTGGAAAGGTAACAGTTTAAGGTCCAACATTACAAGAACGGACTAAAATGCATTTCATCATCATCACCAAAGAAAAAGCACTATGGTTTAAATAACAGTTCTTGGCCCACTCAAGTTGCTGGATGGAAATCACCTCCACATCCAAACTTTAAAAAAAAAAAAAAAAAAAAAAAAACAGAAAGTGAAGGAAGTAATCTTTGCTTTTTTTCCTATATTTTGTAGTTAATATTAAATTTTAATGAAGCATGTCTTTTAGACTCTTAGCCCTCCGCAGCTCCGGCCACCACCTGCACGTCTACCACCTGATGGGAGCCGTCGTCCCAGGCGCCTTAAGCTTCCTCCGGTGCTGCGGGCCTCTTCAGGTCCCGGATCTGCTTTATCAGATAGTTCTTCTCGTCGCAGAACTGCTCATCCTCCGATCGGTCGGTCTGGAAGTGGCCCAGGAACTCCACGAGCTTGGTCTGGTTCTTCAGCAGGATGTCCAGGACGGGCTGAGTCTTGTTGGGGTTTGCAACGAACACCTTTTTTTTTTTTTTTTTTTTTTTTTTTTTTTAAAAAAGGGGAGAGAGATGATTGGCAATTTGAAAAGTTTCATCTGAAAATGAGACCCAGACTCCTCTTAAATGAACACTGCTTTCAATATTTTACCAGCTAATGTCGGCAGCATTTTACAGTACAACTGGATTATTAAAACAGGAAACAGTTGCACTGATGATACGTGTTTCATGAGCACACCTTGAACACATGGAATGCTTCAAACTGGATGTTTCGGCTGTTGTCTCTGAGCAAGTTCATCATCAGCTTCAGGTTCTCCGCCCGGCTGATGTATTTTGTCATGACAGTGAAGTTGTGTCTGTCCAGCAGAAGTTCCCCGAGGAGCTGTAAAACAGTATGCAATTACAACATCGTTTTAGTAAGACCGTGGGTGAGCATGTCAGTAACACCTGAATCTGAAAGCCAAGTGATTTGGATCGGCCAGAGCGGTGGAGCTTCTACCTTCAAAGACTGCCGCTTGGTGACGTAGTTCTCAGAATGCAGGAGCTTCTCGTATTCTGTAAACACCTGACGGACATTTTACAAGTGTATTAATAGGCACAGCAGAAGCATTCTTTTGATTAAAAAGATGAAAACCACTCAGGAGGCTCACCCTGTCATAGTTGTTCTCCAGGAAGTCTGCACACATAATCTTGTGTCTTGTGAGGAGATCCTGAGTGGCAACAGAAGAGACCGAAACATTAGAGACAAACTGTTGGTGTGAAGATGCTGGAAACAGAAGAAGAAAACACGGCGCTGTACCTTGAATGAGGCAAACGCGTCTGAGGCAATGTCAAAGGTCGAGAGCTCCACGTAACCGAAGAAGCAGTAGAAGTCTTCAGAGAAGAGCACCGTCCGTGCCAAAGGCTCGTGACGCAGGCACTCCCTCAGCATCATTCCACAGTTCAGAGCCACTTCTGCACTCTCATATCTGCACAGGTGAACACATGGCACACCCAGGTCAAGTCATTAGAATTAAATATATAGGCCACTTATAAAACAAACACTGTAGATGTAACGAAGAAAAACAGCAAAAAAAATTGAAGTTTCTTTAAGGAAAATCCATCATAAACACTTCCATTAAAGCATTTCATATTGGATTTGTAGTGATGAGAATTACACTTCCAGGTCTTATTTTCCATGGTGGGATAAGATAACTGGCCAAATGGGAACAATTAACCATGCCGCCAAAACGGGATCCTTTTAGCAGAAGAATCATCTTCAACATCAGCGTTAAATGTCAGGTTTTGCTGTCCATCTCCCACAATCAAAACTGGATGGTCCGCTTTAGAGACGTGACATTTTAGATCAAAGTTAAAAAAATTTTTTTTAAAAAACAAGGCAAGTGGCAGAGATGGCATTTGATCCACCGACAGCAGCTTCAACAGACCACAATGCAATGCAGCCGATAGACATGTTGCTCTTCGAGCAGGCAGGATGACTCAGTTGTTTTTTTTGTTTTTTTTAGAGCTGTAAAACCAGCGCTGCTATCACTCTCTTCATCAACATGCGCTACCCACATGTGAATGCAACAAGTTCACGCTCGTTGCTCTGGGAGTTGTTGAAACACATAACGCGTAGTGTGGAAATTGACGAGGCATGTTGAGGTAAAGGGATTTATACCTACAAAAAAAGAGGGTTTAAATAGTGCCTTAAACTAAATTACAGTCTAAGACTATCTACGGATGGACTTGCCTTTAGTATGTGTAATTGTACATACAAAGCGCTCACATCAACCATGTGTCAAACACTGATTTCCTGTAGCCTGAAAAGATGAACTTACCCTTTCAGCAGCATGAAGAGGATCCGTTGTTGTGTAGAGATGTATTCTACCGTGGGTGTGCGGCTGCCAATTTGACGTCTCACAATATTGCTGAACAAATGAACCACATCCTTCTTCCCCTGTAAAAAAGAAGTTCCACAGAGTGGTGAATGTCTGACTGGGTGCTGATGATATGACGTTCGCTTTGGGCATCGATGTCCAAATCACGCATGCACCCTGATCGTTTGGTGTCGGCACAAAAAGGATCAATACTTTATACACAAATGAAGTCATTGCAGAAATAAGTGCATTTTCCCCACCTCAAAATCAATCCTCTGCAGGTTCGCAATGAGAGCAACGAGGAGGTTGGTGTTGTACAGCTCTTGTGCGAGTTGGGCCACCGCTTCGGTTTGAGGCTCCTTGTCACCTGTTCCACTAAGCACCTCCTTCAGCGAGGCAAGGTTTTTGGACACCTCCTCTGCGACCTTTATTGTGGAAAAAGAGTTAATGACTGCGACTATCAGCTGGTGTTAAAGTACGAGACAGTCCATAGCCGACCTTTTCACACTTTTTGCTGTCTCCAGCATCCATCTTTTCCATGTAGGCCACATTCTCCTTCAAACTCCTCACTATGTCACCTGGGCTCTTCTGAGACTTCCCAAAAGGAAAAGGCATGACTGGAGAGTGGTAATCCGAGCCCAAATCTCTGAAGAAATAAAACACTGCTTTCAAATAACTATTATATGCAAGCAAGTCAACTTCCTGTACCTCTCTGCATCAGGAAATGGCTGAAAAAGCCCTCACCTGAAGGACGCAACGAAACAGCTAACTCAATTTTACCGTCCGACTGAAAAAAACCCACTCTCAAAAATTAAGCTGTGGAGTTACAGTGTTAAAGACCATGACAGCACACGCAGCTAGCTAACCCTGCTAACCCTACATTAGTTTTCAAAGAATGCGAGCAGAGTAGCGCTAAAGTAGCTATTTTACGATACGTTTCCTCTTGGATAGTAGTTTCTCAAAAAGTTAGTATTAGCCGGGGCGAATAAAATGCGAACTTTCTAAACGAAACGAGGACATAACGGAGAACAAGACGGTAACAATGTCAACGTTACAACAATGTTCAGCAGCGAAGTTGAGCTAGCTTGTGACCTAGTTAGCCGTAGCAAGAAACAAGAACAACTACCGTCAGTAGGCGGACAGTAACGTTACCGTGGAAAACATAACACACTGCTGAGATATTCAGTTAAAGCTGTCACGACTCACCGAGTGAACTCTGGTTGTGAAGCTGAAGGAGGCTCGGTGGCTAAAGGTTAGCTAGCGGGCTAGCAAGTTGTCCCCACTTATTTTCCACTGTAACGCTGTTACTTTGAACTGTCTGTAACGTTATCCGTGGCTGTGGCTGTAGCTGTCTAGCGTAACCTAATTGTAGCTACAAGTTGCTCAAATGGACGACCTTCATAGCTGTGGTATTTCATAAGAATCCCTCTACTCGTGACCGTCTGTCACCTCACTCGCTAGCTGCCTAGTAGTGAAGAGAGAGTTGCTGGGCTGGCCTGTCTGACAACTTCATTTCCCTGTTCTCTTCTGTTGAAACTCTCGTCCTCTCTTCATCCCGGGGACACTGGGCGGGTATGTTTGGCTCTACAAAATGACTGCCACCGCTGTTGTCCAATCACTTTAGCCGAGGCGAAGTCGCGGAAACTCCCTCTGCGTTGTAGGTACGCACGTTTCGGGGCTCGCAAATGTCTCGTGGGGTGGACAGATTAGAGAATACACCGGAAGCCCGTTCAGCCGGGCTGTCTTGCAACACTAAACAAGTGCACCTAAATTCTCATGAAAAGATAAGAGCCCAACAAAAAGTTTTGAGAGAGACTATTTCATCTTATGTGTGCATGGAATTTAACTTTTGTATTTTGTATTGTATTACCACTTGTAAAAGGCAGGATCATCTTTATACCGATTAGCATTAGGTTTAGTAGTAGTTATTTTCTTATGAGGTCCTCAACATCATCCAGCATGTTTAGATCTTTTATACTCGTCACAACTACGAGCATTTCTGGAAGGATAATGATGCTCTTCACTCAGAGCTGTGGATTTAGACCAGGCCATATGTCAAGTACAATTGTGCTGCACTCTTTGTACAACTGCCGATGCTTTTAAAACTGATCACAACCCTGTGAAACAAGCTGTTTTCAATGGTTTTGCCTGATCGTCTGGTTCAAAACATATCTCTATGGTAGAGTTCAAACTTTTGTTGCCAGTGGCTTCAGGGTGTTGCCCAAGGACCAATCCTATGTCCTTATCAAATTACTCTTTTATAATAACTGTCACATTAAAACAATATTCATTATTCATGTTGGTACTGCAATGTACAACTGAAATTAGCTGCAACAACTGTTTTTTTCTTTTTTACTTCAAATCTGACATAACGCTTGTTTGTCAGATCTCTTTTACACCTGCATGAAACATGGCCTGACTGGCTATTGATACATCAATAATAAAGCCATTTCCATGAGGTGTTTCTGTAAAGCACTTTCGTCTCCTTCACACTACGACCTCCTGCGTCTTTTCACGATTGAGACATCGCAACGTACGTTCGCCAGCAGGACTCTTATTTTGAAAGCCAATGCCCGGAAGTGGCGCTGTCTCGAGCACCGTAGCTAGCTTGATGCTAGTGTGAAAAGCTCACGATCACTTCTGAAGGACGGAAAGAAACACACAGGCGCTGCTCGGAGCACTTTTACACATTTCTCCACCGTCTCAGCGCTATAAGATTATATTAGCAGGTAAGATGTGAGTGTGTATCAGCGGCAGAACGACAGCCGCGGTGTTTTGTGGCCTATTGTGGCTTCAGGCCGTATCGCTGGTACGAGCTGCTCTCTGTTCACAGGGATCCATCACGTATGGCGCTCTTTACTTCGAAACGGTTTGTGAAGACCCGCGCCTGTCATGACAATTTCCCCTCATTTAAAGGGCAATATTCGCTGTTTTTTTCGGGTTCCAGCATAAACATAATGTCGAAGTGTCATATTTTCCTACTAGCGACCTTTATCTCCCCTCATGAGGAGGCCTTGGGGGGAGATTTCGGGGCGTTGAGGTGTTTGAAATGTGTTTTTCAGTTCTAGCTGAGTTAGTTTGGTGGAGAAAGCCACACACACCCCCTTCGATTCAAAACTTTGCAGGATACATTTTGTGGCACTTTTCACGTTGCCCCTTGTTCTTGTCACAAATCGACCACGACACCGCCGTGTAATACAGGATCGTGCTACGAAGGTGTTTTCTGTGAAGAGCAGAGGTTGAAATAAGGTGTATTTAGCTGGTATTTACGCGGTGTCGTGTGTTTGTGCGCTGGCTCCGCTGATGGAGCCGCCGCAGTGAAATCCCGGCCTAGCTATCGAGGCTGTAATGGCTCTATCAAGGCGTCGCAGCACACTGCTATTGTGCTTTAAAAAAAAAAAAAAAAGAAACACCCACTTTCGTTTGTGGACTATTCAGGATTAAGAACACCTTTTAGTCCTCATATTTAATACATTGTGGACGCCATCAAAACAGGCTATCTCTGCAAATGACAGCACACATTCGGAGATTTGATCTCCTCGCCTACGTTCAATAACACAGAGATGGATTTGCAACCGATCTTGCATCATTTTGAAAGAAAAATATTGTTTAACATGCAATAGAAAGGTTTAATACAAAATGCAGCCGAAATGATGCAATTAATATGTAAGTCATCCCAGCTCCTGCTGATGTGTGTGTGTGTGTCCTCACTGCTCATCACAACAGGCGTTACAGTCAAATATTGCATATTTCCAGTGATTAATATTTCTTTAGAGAATGGGATGTTTTCAGGTTGGGGCAGATGAGACGGACTAGAATATTGGAGCAGACTGTGTCTGCAGAAATAGAAGACGTGTTGCATCATCAAAAACTACTCATTGGGGGGGTTGCCTGTAATCAGAAGAAGCCCCTGTGTATGTACGGTAAACTGGTTTGTCTCTGATTTCCCTGAGCCTGTGTCCTGTTTAGTCTGATTTATACCTGTTGGTAAAACATACATAGGATCTCACAGAATTCTGATATTGGTCAGCGGATTCACCAGACCCTCTGGTGGTTTTAGTCGTCACATACAGGCCATCAGAAACTCTTCCTAGCACAGTGGACCAGGACTAACTGAAGTTGACGAAGTGTCGAGCTGTAGTCCTGTAACAGACGTGTTGGATCCATCTGAGGCTTTGCTGGGCAAGTGTTTGTGAGTCAGAGGACTCTTTGGTGACTCTCGTTGCTCTACTTTTCAGTTATTTGGGAGTATAAGTTTAGCAGCTATAATGGCTCCCTACCATCAGGGTTTATTATTTCACAATACTCACATTTAGTTTTTTGAAAGAACTTGATTTTCCAGAATATAAATTACTCTACAATAACTCAACCCGCGAGGGATGTTTCACCAATCCCTAGTTATGAACACATTAATAACTGAATAATCAACCCAAAACTCTGTTATCACGTGTTACCTTCTGTTACCTCGTCATTCATTCTTATCTACTCTGCCGATGACTCCAGTGATTGAAGGCATTTTACAATTGTTTTAACTGCTTTGATAATCTCTATGGAAAAGGATCTACCAGCCTGTGTAATGTGAAGCTATCTTGTCGTTCTCACTTTAACATATTTGTGTTTTGTTTGTCTTCTTTCATCAGAGACTTGGTCAAACAAAAGAAAAGCCTTTTGTCATGTCGGCACAGAAGAAAGGAGCTGCAGCGCGGCTGCTTAAATGTGCCTTCTGCAGAACCAACCGGGACAAGGAGTGCGGGCAGCTGCTGCTGTCGGACAGCCAGAAGGTGGCAGCCCACCACAAGTGCATGGTGAGGAGAGCGCGCCGCTCTCAACCTGTTGTAGCCCGTGCTCCTTCTAGACTAAGGCATGCTTACTTGCAACCATCGTCACTTAATGCAGCATAGTGAACAATTCAGCCCAAAAAACCTTTATATTTTGTGTTTTTTTTGCTGCTGTTTCACTTGTTTATAAGCCTGCTGAAGGTCGGCATTTCATAAAGCAAAAAAGGGAAACGGTTTAAAGCTAAATTTGTCTAGCAGAAAGAAGTGATTTATTTCCTGTGCATTCTCTTGAAAGGCCCCAATGTGTCTTTTTTTTGTCCCCTGGGTGATCCTGACCTCCAGGTTGAGGAAACACTGCTCCACAGCCTCCGACATACCATTTAACATTTTTTCGATAATTACATCACCGTGAAATCAGTTCAGATGCTGGTTGAAACACGTGACATCCATCGGTGTGGAAAATGGTGCATCGGCAGTGGTCATGGGGGAAATTAAAATGCAGATATTGCACTTCTCATCCTCCATAATAAAAGACTGCACAAACCAATTTACATTTTTCTGCTAATAAATGTCCCATGCAGCTTTTCTCCTCTGCCCTGGTCACATCTCACTCAGACAGCGGAAACATCGGAGGATTTTCCATTGAGGATGTGAAAAAGGAGATCAAGAGGGGAAATAAATTGGTAAGTGCCCCACACATCCAAACACTATGAACATATGAGAATATGCCGTAGCTGCTTTTATTGAACCGATAATAACTAATGATGATTCATGCGTGTTTTTATACACTTGAGCATATAGTACCCTACTGTGGATACCTGTCTGTCCTGTAAACCCATAGTGTGCGTGTGTGTGGATGTATACACACAGGAGGTGTTGGTGTTACTAGCTAGTAGCGTTACAGCAGATCCCGCTCATGATTTATCATGTTTAATTCGGGAATATCAGCTTTTTTCATCTAATAGGATCTAGAATTAGACAAGTTTTGAAAGAACAGGTTGTGTCTCGATCTGACAAACTATTAGAAGATGACACGCTGCACTTGAATGTGTCTTTTTTTTTTTTTTTTTCATCTATGTGAGTCTGATGCTGAAATGCAATTTAATCTAATTGGCAGCATGTCTAATTTAATTTGCATTTATATTGCAAATTAAATAATATCACTGTCGCACATTAAATTTGAGTTACTTTATTATCGTGGTTCTGGCTCATGCCATGATATTACACGGAGACTGTTACAAAGATTACCCATATATTTACAGGTGCAGTGTTTATTTATACACGTATGTTTACGTTAATTCCTATTATGTATTTATTTTTACTGTCATCTACTACGACCTACATATATGTACATGTTTTTTTTTTTAAATTATTGTGAAGTCTATCTTCAAGAGTGTGTTTTTTAGATGCTAACAAATTATAAATAATGATACATTTTGATAATGTATCATTGTGTGAATTTAAGAATGTTCTAATTATATGTTACAGCCTTTTAATATTTAGCTTTCTCTGCTGTCTATTTTTATACATATATCATTTTATGCTCTTCTGCCATCATTTCATGAAATTTACATATTTCCTTTCAGACATTGGTGTCTGTCAAAAATGATCATTCAGACTCGCATCGTAAAATCCCATTTCACATCACTAATTGACAAAGCGTATCACTAGTTGTCAGCTATTTTGAATGAATATCAAAGATCGTGGCTTTCTTTCTTAAAGATGTCGGTCTGTTTCCTTTTCCCCCGTCAGATGTGTTCCTCGTGCCACCGGCCGGGTGCCACCATCGGCTGTGATGTGAAGACGTGCCGGAGGACGTATCACTATTACTGCGCTCTGAAAGACAAAGCCCAGGTCAAAGAGAATCCCTCGCAAGGGATTTACCTGTAAGTCGCTTCGCCTTTGCTGCCGCACAAACCTACGGTAAACTGAACAGATGTTCCTCATTCGTGTAGGATTCAATTTAAAATACATTTGTTTTGCTCCCGAACGTAGTGTTTACTGTCGCAAACACCGGGACGCCTCTCAGGAGGGCATTCAAGGTAAAGTATGAACGTCTGTTATATCATTAGGCTGCATGGGTGATTGGATTCATCTATCATTGTGTATCAAATTCAAATTCTACCGCAAAACATGCTCGCACAGCAATCTGTGTCTGTTTAGTGCTTGACATTTAGTTTGATGAAGTCCTTGATGCGTTATTTGTCTCTAAACTTTAATAAAGTAAACGCTTGCTGGTTCTTTTCTCGGATCTTTCGTGAGCAGAAAGGTTTGTCCTAATCGTGACTGTCGGTTTGTCGTTAGATGAAGAGGGAGCGGTCGCCAGTGATTCAGAATCGTCGCCTCCACAAAGTAGGGGAAGAGGCCGGTTTGAGAAAGGCCGAGCCAAGGTCGGATCTCGTGGCCAATCAGAAGACGCCCGCTCCACTTCCTCTCAGGCTGCGGACGAGGAGAGCTCCTCCCACGTAAGGCGGCGGGGAGTGACTGGACCGGTGTGTTGTCCGTGTGCGGCCTCTTGTCTTTATGAGTGTGTGTGTGTGTGTGTGTGTGTGTGTGTGTGTGTGTGTGTGTTCCAGCGGGACAGGTCACCTCTCCGGATCAGCGGGGGAGACGGCGGCCAGCGCTGTGGCTTCTGTCACGCTGGCGAGGAAGAGAACGAGACGAGGGGCATGCTTCACTCCGACAACTCCAAAAAAGTGGCCGCGCACTACAAGTGCATGGTAAGACTGTGTGTGCGTGTGTGGTGGTGTCACTTTATACTGCGCGTGTACATTCACAGTAACGTCGCTTTTATCTCTCTCTCCCTCTGCGACCCCTCCCAGCTTTTTTCATCGGGGACGGTGCAGCTGACCACCACGTCACGGGCTGAATTTGGAAACTTTGAGGTGAAAACTGTCATCCAGGAAATCAAGAGGGGGAAAAGAATGGTGGGAGGATTTGTCTGACTTCTAAACCGTCTAAAGATTTAAAAGAGTTTCAGAAAAACAGCTTATAAATTTTGACAAATTACAAAAAAAATGTTGTTTTTCCAGAAATGCACGCTCTGCACTCAGCTGGGTGCCACCATTGGGTGTGAAATCAAGGCATGCGTGAAGACCTACCACTACCACTGCGGCCTGCAGGACAAAGCCAAGTACATTGAAAACATGGCGCGTGGCATCTACAAGTGAGCTCAACTAGCTTTCACTCCACAGCCAGATTTAGACTGTTTTATTGTATTACGTAGGTTGCAATAAGTCTTTGAACGCCATTATTGTAAAGGTTGTTCGCAAATGCCTTTTTGATGTTTAACTTGTACACGTGAAGAAAACCGTAGACGTGGTCGTCCTCAACTTGATCACAGCGCTGATTATTGCCATTTAGAGAATTATATTTTCCTGTAAACAAAGTCTGTTTCGACACAGTGTTACTCGAGTGTATCGTGGAGGCCTGACAAACATGTTGGATGCATTATCTTCCTCATAAAACATTTGCAAAGCCAATTTTGATCATCAGTAGAATATTCTGACACTAGCAGCAGGAATGTGTTGCCTTTTAACTCTTAGTTCAAACCACATCAGACTTTCAAAGTGAGCGTTTTTTGCATTTAACTAATCTTGGCTATCATTGAAATTTGATACTTGCGTGCGTGTGTGTGTGTGTGTGTGTGTGTGTGTGTGTGTGTGTGTTTAAAGACTGTATTGCAAGAACCACAGTGGCAACGAGGAGAGGGATGAAGAAGACGAGGAACGAGAGAACCGCAGTAGACAGAGGGCAGCAAACAACCACGGAGAAACACCGTCAACACACGTGAACGGCAACTAGGTGTGTTATTGGTGGTTGTTGCTGCTGCTACACACAGAAACTATTTTTAACACATGAACACACCTTTCATGTCAAACAGGATGTGTCAGTGTTTTCCTAAAGCAGCAATATCATGTGCAATATGACCGTGTAATCATTTTTCAATGTGACTCCCAATATCACTTTTCTATTTCAGTTTCTATTGGGCTCTGGTGTCTGTATTACGTTTTATACACTTATAATTTTTTATTGTCTTATTTTTAATCTTTTGTTGGAATTTACTTTTTTTATTTTAGTAGAATCTTAGTTTTCACTATATTTACCTTACTCTTATTGCTACTCTATTTTCACTGGTGTCAGTATTACTTATTCTACACTTAAGACACTTAGATCTCTATTACTGTATTTTTACTCTATTTTCTTACTCTTTTTAACATTTCCTGTCACTTCATCGATGCCGTTCTTACAGGTCGGTGTGGTGGATGTTGCGTGGGGGCGAAACCAGAAGAGCTCGAACACGAGGGACAGATGTTTTTTTTTTATACGAAATCTTAGCCCGCTCACAAAGTTGTGGTCTACGAGCTCCCACGAGTCCTTTTTTTTTTTTTTTTTTTTCCTACACTGTTTCTCCCAGTAAACGGACACGATGTCCCAGAGTGCTCCAGATGTCGTCTACATGTGAAGCCCTTGTTTGGACTCGACTGGATGAGCCGCTCACAGACCGGTGGTGCTCTGCAGAGCACTGGACGGCTGCAGGACCGCGAACAGCCTCGGCTACTCTTTCCCAGGAGTCGGCGATGGGCTCAATTTCAAATACGTGCGTTGTTTCCGCGAGTAAAAGCTATTGGACTGATCTTCTGATTGTCACTCAATCCCCCCCACAGATTACATGACATTCTGGCTCTTCCTTCGCTTCTAAAGGACTCACTTTTAAGAGGGGTCTGTTTGTTACTAGTCTCTCTAAGTTGTGCGGTTTGATTACCTTGTTTCTGTAATCACGTCTTAAGAATACTCTTTTCATGTTAGCCTTTCTTTCTTGATATGTAATATTTTGCTACTGTATTATCATCATGAGTCATTTTTTGAATATCTGGATTTCAGACAGTCACAATTACAAGTTTCGCCAGCATGCACTTGGATTTTCCCTCACTGTTCAAGGTGGCTTTCTTTTTTAAATTTAGCTACCAAAGGGCAATGTAGAGCTCTTTAGAGGTGTTGGCCTGACTTCGTTTTGATGTACTGTTTACCTGTATCTCTACAAATGTACCCATGAATGATCGGAAATAGAAAAATATTTTTATTTTACACATTTACTGAGTGAGTCTTTTATTTTGAAAGTGCGTCCGCAGGGCACTGGAAACACAGAGCGGTCCCAGGATGTTAAAGGTGAAGACCTCTGGTGAGGTTTGAACAGTGAGGAATGTCACACGAGCTGCAGTGTCATAAAGTCAGAGCTCTCCATTCACAGCAAGGCCTGACCTCCTGCTCCTCTTAAACTACTTTGTATGGAGGAATTTGGGCACTTAATGTGTCTAGATTGTCAAATGTAATGCACTGTAATAGGTCACCGTTAGGTCCACACTATAATACGTAGTATGCTGTTAGTAAAGGTGTTGGCAGTGATTATAGGAAAGCCTCGCTGTTGATGTAGTCGGGCTGCTATAACATTTATAGTCAAATCTGAGCTGAACCAGTAAGATGTGGTAGACCTGCAGACCTACAGGCCCTGATGTATAGAAGGAAAAAATAGACCGAATTTACCTTTTTTTTTACTGTATTTTACAGCTTAGATTCAATGCGTTATGCTGTGTTCCTATTCCATTCATACCAACTATAAAACTCAGATGTATGTACTGTTTTGTACGAAGGGAAATTATGTAATGCGTTAAATGAATCAGTTAAATTGCAAGTTTAGAGTGCCACTGCCTGTTATACTGAACAATTAAGTCAAAATGTATTTTCAGAGACATTCCATTTTCTCCATCTAGACTAATTGATATTTAATGAAAATGAAAGTCTCAACCCGTCCTTTGGACATTCTTCATGTCAAATTTCTAAAGGACGTTTTCAACCCTCTATTCTGCACATGTTAGGCTGCTGTCTGTCAAGAGGGTTATGCAACGCTATTGTTCAACCGCTTTTAAAAGGAATGTCTCTTGATTCCTCCGACATGAACAATTAGACATATTTATAAGCTCCCATTTTAACTAAGGATTTTTAAAAAAGCTTGTAGCAGATCTGCTGTCTTAACACCTGGGTGGGTGTCGGTGGCACTGCTCTGTGGTTTAGGTCCTACTCAATAGAGAGGTGTTTCTGCATTGGCAGGTCAGCTGCAATAGGTGTTCACTGTGGGGTGGGTCCGATTCTCTTATCCATTTATGCTCCACCTTATACACAGAAATAATATCAGTTTCTGTTTTTATGCAGACGACTGAGATCTACCTAAGCTGTGACCCTGCATACAACCATCAGAACAACAAGCTTCATGACGTACGCAAGTGGATGTCACAGAACTTCCTGAAGCTATATGCTGATACAGAGATATTAATCAACGGTCAAGATGGTGCAATCACCCAAATGTTAAACTATCTTGGTTCACTGTCCCATTCAATAACTCATGTTGAAATCATGGTGTCATCTTTGATCAGAACATCGAGATAAACCTATTAAATCAGTGGTTCAATCCTGCTTTCATCATCTCAGAAACATTTCAAGGATTAGACCATTTCTTTGTCCCAGAAATCTGGAAACCTCTGTCCACGTCTCCAGTACTATAGGCGATTATTAGATCGATTATTGTAGCTCCTTGCTCCCTGGCATCAGAAGTATATAGTATATGCATGTATATCAGTTTACAGTATGTTCAGTAGTATAAAAAGCAGCGTAGATTAATATTTTGCAGTAATATTACATGGTACAAAGTGTGTGACCACAAGGTGACAGTGTTTGCAGCAGGGCTTTAAGACTTTAGAATGACCTGCCTGATGAGATCAGGGCTCCAGACTCTGACTCGTCTTTTAAAATTATACTTTTTAACTTTGATTTATTTTATGTCGGTTTTACCCTCTGTGTTTTATTATGTGATTGTTTTTGGGCTTTTAGTTCACTGTAGTCTCTTTGTGTTAAATGTTTTCTATTTTTCATTGTAAATTTGCAACTGTGTTTTGAAAGGTGCTATATAAATAAAGATTTTATTATAATCATTACTATTAAAGTCTCAAAAATTACTTCGAGTTAGTGTATAGTATGGAACTAGGACTTAGCTCAGGTGTCCTCTTCAGGTAGTGAGGGATTTATATAATATATATATATATATATCCTTAATAATATTAGAACTGTGGTAATACTGGCAGTAGTGGTACTCAGATAAAAACATGCTTTTGGTTCACAGCTTAGTTTTACAGATAAAGACGTATGACTGCCCAAAGGTATAGTCGTCGGTGAATACCAGTATGACATGATGTTATAGTGAGTTACCATGAGGCAGCGCCATAATAAGGACGATAGAAGTAACGATATCCAGATGTCCCCCTTGTGCACACCCGTCCCACTCACAGCATTCTAATCAGACACCCAAAAGACAAAGGTTTTTAAATATGTTTTATCCAATCAATTGCTTGATCAGATTCTGTTCATTAATCCCAACATGGAGGTCAAAATGGGATTTTAAAAGCAGTCTATATAATGCCAGGGATAAAATCACTGATATTATTTATTTATTTTCTTGGCCCAAAACTAATGAAATTGAAATAAAGGATACAGGTATCTGCCATCTAAATGCAGGCCGCTGCTCGTTTTTATATCAACAGAATGTTCCCTGAGTTGCATAAAAAGTAAATAATCAGGTATACAGCAGTTTTATTCAGCAGTCCAAAGTTCATGGCAATGAAGAGCCGAGTACACTTCACTTCTGTCAGGCTGGAGGCGGTTAATAAAGCCGCACCTGTACAGCGACAGGAGATAGTGACATCAATGAGCTACATCTACCTAAAGCCGGTATTGTTGCGTTTTAGCGGTTAGAAGTTAGCAGCACGCTTCGCAGCTCGAGCGCCTTTTCCTCCCCACAAGCACGCACGCACGCACGCACACACTGCGGGGTGGGGCTAACCCTGCTCATTCGATTTGCCCGCCGCGCGCCCGCGTCATCATGCACGCCGCAGCAGAGAGACAGTAGAGCCGCAGCCCGGAAAAGGACAGGAGCCTCTTATAGCAACGGCGCTAGCCACCTCCATGTGTGCGCTGCCACAAGGCTGAAGTGTCCGCGGAACCAACCTACAGAGTACGTCTTTTGTCTCCTCTATTTCAAGACCACGGTAGACTACATATGGCGGGGACCGACGCGGATATGGCGACATCCAGCCCCTGTGTTGTGGTAAGTTACCCCCACAACAACCAGCAGAATGAAATGAGAGATAGAAGGTGGTCCCGGGTAGGTTACCACCACTTCAAGCCCACCGGGATGAATAAACACGCTGTACACGGGCAGCCACTGCGGTTGCTAAATATGTTACCCTGACCTTGTCGTTCGTTGTTAATTGCATAACTGTATGCCTCACCTTTGGCAGCACGTTTTTAGCGTACGCTACATAACTGTATGTCCTATGTAGCGTCAGCGTGGCCTGCCCGCGGCCATGGAAACATCACAAACACGCGCTCCGTGCGCCCAGGCGTAGGTGTCGCACGGGAGTGTTTGCGTTCAGGTTGTATTAGTAAATTACACGATTGTACCAAGAAAGCCAGAAACGCACGAGCTGCAAGCAAAGGGGCGTGTCTACAGTTGCGAATGTAATATCATTTCCAATACAACAAGATGAATATTCACGTTCATAAATAAATACTGAAATTTGCAACAACAACAAAAAGTCACACAAAACACAGTTTGGTGTCATTTAAGCTAAAATGGTGTGAAATTTAAAGTTTGGTTGTAATTTCAGTTTGAGTCAGATCACAAGGTCCCCGTGCAAAACATATGCTCAAGTTGACCAGCCACACAATGACCTGTATTGGAATTTAGAAAATAAGTAACCAATGCGCTCTGCTTTACAGGACATTCCCAGCACGTGGCGTGCCAGTGTGTTACTGTCATGGTGGCAGACCCACTGGCAGACACTGTAATTAAGCATTTTTGCTAAAGCGGCATCAAAAGGAAATGTAAAATAATGTTACAGTGGTGTCAACCGTGTACTTTGCTTGTGCGAAGTTCAAGGAGGCCCCTTCCACTGACCTCAGATCAGTTCATTGGGTGTTTGTAGTGTTTGACTTTACATCTTCCCTCACTGAATAACAGATAGCAAGCCCAAAAGTGGAAAACACTCCTTCACATCATGTTTCCACGAGGACATCTGCTCGGTATCAGTTGTTATTTTGGAGGTGAAAGGCTGGAGCCCAAACAGATGGGCATGTTTTTTGTTTTCTTCAAATGCTTTGCTCTAGTTAAACCACGTGTGATCTGAGGACGGGCGCTTTGCGATTCCAGCCTTTTAGTAAAGCGATGACAATTTGTCGACTTGCGAGAATCCAAACTCGCTCTCTTGGTCACTCCCATCATTCCCACAGCACCTCGAGCTCTGCACCGGCTTCCCAGCTGTCGCATGATACCAGTTATGTTGTCTGGGTTCATGTGGCATGAGTTTGAGAATCTTTGGTTAGTATTCACCACCACTGTCTGTTGCTCGCTAAGCTGTACAGAATCAAGCACTGTTCTCAGAGTGGGTGTTCAGTGGCAGAAAAAAAAACATAGAGGCAGTAAAATATACGAAGAGGGAGTCAGTGGGAAAGCAAGACCACCATTGACCCCCCCCCCCCCCCCCTTCCTCCCCCTGTCTCAGATGAGTGTTTTCCGTGTTAGGTAATACCCCAGAGATATATATTTTTTTAACCCCTTTGTCTCATGTTTTATTTCAGATCAGTGATGAGGAGCAGGGGTATGACCTGGACCTTTTCTGCATACCAAAGCACTACTCCACCGACCTGGACAGGGTCTACATCCCACACGGACTCATCTTGGACAGGTGGGTCGCCACGTTTTTTTGGCAGCTTTCAGATAGTGAAAACGGGAGGAATTGTCGGGGTCAACTAAAACTAGAGTTTTAGCGATATGTTCTAAATACGGTGATATGACACCAGATGTCATCTCACCAGACTGCTCTATTATCTGCCTTTACCCACCTAGTCACTATATCCACATTACAGATTATTATTTATGATTCATTTGTGAAAGCACCAATTATATGGAGGTATCTAGTAAAAAATATCTCCAAATTGCCGGGCACTGACGTGGTGGGTTCTCTGAATGATTGATTAACACTGAACAAAGTCAGACAGCGTTTCATATTTTAAGGGATCATATTTTTTCCAGTGGCTTGAAATCCTATTAATTGCCAAGAAGTTTGCACTGCAGTGGAAGTATTTCATTGTTGTACTTGGGAGTGCTGTAGAAATGATAACTATGTCTGCTGACACAAACAAAAAGGAAATGGGAACTACTGCTGAGTGTAGCAGAAAACTGAGCTGAACATTCTCTCTCTCTCTCTCTCTCTCTCTCTCTCTCTCTCTCTCTCTCTCTCCCTCCCACGGGACCCCAGGACAGAGAGACTGGCCAGAGAGATCATGAAGGAAATGGGGGGGCACCACATCGTGGCCCTCTGTGTGCTCAAAGGAGGCTACAAGTTCTTTGCAGACCTTCTAGACTACATCAAGGCCCTGAACAGGAACAGTGACCGCTCCATCCCGATGACAGTGGACTTCATCCGCCTCAAGAGCTACTGCGTAAATATATCCGTTTTTCCTCTTTTGTATTTGCAGTCTGAGACCGCGCCCACATAGGAGACAGGAAGTGTATACCGTTTCATAGCATTGCGTTTAGGAGCATCTCTGTGCTAGGTTACAACAACCAGGTTTCCATCCAAATGTAGCGCCAATATGAACCGAATTTCTAGACAGTCGGTCATTAAACCATTGCAGAGGAAGAGAGTGCAATGAGATGGCGTAATTGAGGAGGTGACTTTAGGAGGAGTCTCCTCATTGGTCCACACAGATCTGATGTGTGTCCATATTTTTGTTGTCTTCAGTGGAGCAGAAGCTTGAGGGACAGATGAGTCACACATGTCACGTCTGTTTCCATTGCACTTTGTCACAGTTTATTTTCAGTGATACTCCAACTTTTCCACCTCTGCCAAACCTAAAAACTGAAAACAGTTCATTGTAAAATGTCCCTGTGACGTACAAAATGTGTTTTGGTGAGGAACACTGAATGTAAATTTGTACATTTTGATGTATAACGTAAAAATAATTATATAATATGCAATAAATCAAGCTTCTTTTTTTTTTTTTTTTTTTTTTTTAAATCAACCACCATGTTGTCCAGTTTGTTCCTTGATCCACTCTCTGCACCGCTCCAATATATAAGGTGAAGTCTCACATGTCCACTTCATTGTTATCCTCAGAACGACCACTCGACAGGAGAAATCAAAGTGATCGGTGGAGATGACCTGTCCACATTGACAGGCAAGGTGAGAAATATGGAGGGCAGCATGACTCAAACATTGTGATCAATACTTGTAATAATTCTAACTTAAAACTAAATGAACTTGAAATGACAAACAGATGTGACTCCTGTTGTACATCATATCGTATCTCACTGTCCGTTGCCCCCATTTTAGACATAAACTGACATTTTCAATGACCTGCTAATTATTAGCTGATTAATAGTTTTGCAAACAAGTTAGTGGATTAGGATTATGAAAAATGAAGGTGGTGATTATCAATGATTATTGAGCAAACCCAATGCTTTCATGTAATGACTTAAAGACTTGTGTCTCTTGAGTTCACTTGCACACTAAGATGAAATGTACCCAGACCTCTGTTTCTCACTGATGTCATCCTTCTCGTCTCTTTCACACAGAACGTCTTGATTGTGGAGGTACGTACCAATGTTGTCTTCTTCAGTAAAGTCTTTCTATTCCAGGACTAATATCATGTTCTCTCATGCTGTGTTTTAAGGATATTATCGACACAGGGAAGACAATGAAGACGTTGTTGCAACTCCTCAAACAGTACAATCCCAAAATGGTTAAAGTAGCAAGGTACTTTGAGCACACGTATCTCATGGAATCATGTGACGATGATGATAAACACATTGCTTTTTTTCTGGCTGTTTCGTAAGACATCGTGGTGGTTTTCACTGAAAGGCTGTTTCTTGTCGTAGCTCGCAGTGTTATGATTGATGATCAGCTGTGTTTCTGTCCCCAGTCTGCTGGTGAAGAGAACACCAAGAAGCGTCGGCTACCGACCCGATTGTGAGTTCAAGACAACGCATGTCTTTAGGCTATTTGTGAAATGTATAGTTAGTGCAATGTGCTGAGGATGTGCATACCTTCATTTCAGTGTTGTGAGTTCATCCCTAGCTGATTTATTGGCCCGTTTGTTTCAGTTGTTGGATTCGAGGTGCCCGACAAATTTGTGGTGGGATACGCGCTAGACTACAACGAGTACTTCAGAGATCTAAATGTAAGTATTTGAGATGGATGAAGAAAACGTGATGAGTGAAGTAGCTCACGTACTCATTAGAGTTCCTATAAACAGTTTGTACCTGTGTGTTAATGCAATAGCACTCATTGGTCCTTTTCTGTTTCAGCATATCTGCGTCATCAGTGAGTCAGGGAAGGAGAAGTACAAGGCATGAAGAGCACTTCGTCGTGATTTTTAACCTTAGGTTATATCTCCCCTTTTGCTGTCCGTTTGATATTTTATCACTTTATATTCGTGTCGTCAAAAATAATCGGCCTGCTCGGGGTCCCTGAGGACACAGCTGGAGTGATCACTCTGTTTTTTTAGCAAACACAGATTCAACCTTTGAGAGAATTGATTGCCTTTTAGATGGAACCACGTCTGGGTGAACCAGCATGGAGCCGAGCTTCGCCTGAAATTAGTATAATGCTTCTATGCCCCCACGCCGATTCATTCTTTTTTTATTAAAGCAATGATGTAATTTATTCAGAGCAACGCTGATGGCTTTAAGGACAATATTGTGCCACATTGATTTGACAACCTCTCATGAAATGAAATATTTTTTTATTGTAATTCTACTTTTACCTTTAACTAGTAATAGCTGTTTAATGGGCACTCTTAAAGATGATTTTACATTTTCTTGACATCTGTATGCATATTTTGGGACAAAACACATTTCTGTGCTAACGTGTGAGTCATAAGATTTTCTTAAGATAGATTGTGATAGAAAGTAAATGTTGGCTGTTGTCCCTAATTACACACACAGATGATATGAAGAAGATGAAATATCCTCTTATTTATGAGTATTAATGTAATCTTTGTCTTTTATGTTACACAAAGAAGTTTGATGCACGAAGGCTTTGTTCACACAGATCTTACTTCTGCTGGAAAATACGTATAGTGTGCAGATGTGTAAATGTTCAATGGATACTTAAGTTTAAGTTAAAAGTTATTCAATCATTTAAAATACGTCAGTTGTATTTACTTTTCATTGAATAAGAAACAATTTAAATAGATGTAAACCAGTCGACTGAATTTTTCAATACCGGTCATTAAATGTTGACACGCCTCCTCTGACTACAGGATTTCACTGCATGCTTTGTGTACAATATTACACCAAATACTTGTAACATTGAAATCATCTGTGGCCAATCAATATATAGGAAATACTTTCTGAGATCAAAAGGTTTTACAGTTGACTGAAATAAATACCTGCTGGATGCCATTTTACTTTTTGAACAAATGGTGATTACTAAGCATATTTGTGTCCCGTTTGCTGTGTGTCCAATAATGCAACATTATTTGAGATTGTTGTCAAATATATTTTTTGACTATTTTATACTGATAGAGCATGGGTGCTTTGCAAATCAAGACAACTTGATTATGGGAATACCATTGTTTATTGATCATCTTATTTATGTAATTGATGAAAACACCAAACATGTACTGGCCTATGCTTGATAAATGCTTTCATATGCTTGTTTTAATCTGATTCATATTAAATCAATGCTTGTTGACTGCTGCTTACACTTAACACTGGGTTAGTCAGTTCAGACACTATACTGTTAACATTCTGAGTAGAGTTAATGGGAAAAATACATCTTCAAAAAAATTCAAATGTGCCATTATAATAAGTAGTATAAAGTTATTTGACAATGGCGATTGGACAATGGATGGTTATGAACAGTGGCGTGATAGGCTGCTGTAAATAAACTATCTGCATCGGGCCTCCTGCGAGCGAAGCTGTGAGAAGACCAGGTAAAAACATTTGATGGAGCTACTCGTGTGATGAAACATTGTACTACTGACGATGCACATGGAGAGAATGTAAAAGTATACTCGGGAACCAGACGCAGTTCTCCACATCCCGCCTGAGCATGCCGGCAAATGAAGCTGTTTCATTGGACGTCCTGCTAACGTTAAAGGGGGCGTGAGGTTGCTGCTAGCGGCTAACCTAGCTGCTGTGTGATCATCTGGGACCTGGTTCATTCTTGGCGGCGCCCTGCAGAAAAGAAACGATGCTATTGTAGAACAGGTCATATTTACAATATACGATGTTTAGTTTACTTATTTGAGCCCTAGAAGCTACCGGGCTGACGAACTGGAACATATAGTTAGTGAAGTGTTGCCTCGGCCTCCTGTGGACATGGCGTTATGGCTATCGGCGTTAATGCTAACTTAGCTAGTTAGCCTAGCAGGCTGGGCTGTTAGCTGCGGATGGAACAAGGTAGCGGGAAGCGTAGCACAGCACTAGTTTACATTAGCTAGACTCGCGTTGTGAGAATCTCTTTACTTCAGCCTCGTCAGACTAACGTTAACGTCATCCACGTTAAGACGTGAGGCGAACATTGGCTTTGCAATTAAAGTAAGTAGCTCGTGAGTTTAGCTAACGATAGCTCATTTAACGCGCTAAACATGCAGTGCTAGTTTAGCATAGTAGCGTCTCAGTCGTGCTCAGTTTCTGCCTTGCAACAGCAGACTAACAGGTCGGTAGCTAGCAGTTACCGGGCATTGTGCGGTATGTAGCTATGGCATGCTAACCATCCATCAGGGAAGTTTGAGACTGGTCATAACGTTACAGGCAACGTTTGCGCAGACCAGTTCTGACTGATAACATAGTCGTGGTACGCAGAACTGATAAAGATAGCGTCGTTGTGAGTAATATCCAGGGTTAATTAGCTTCAACACAGGAGTCGTAGACCGGGGCCTTGCAGATTGCAGTGAGTTAGCGACATTTCGTCGTATTGAGGATGTTTGTTCAAAGCGTGTAAAGTTAGCGAAGTTTGGAGAGCAACAATGTAACGCCACTGAGCTGGTTAGCCATTTTGATTTGATGAATTGGTGGCGGGCTGCGTTGGCTAGCAAAATGAACAATTCAGGAGTCTCTCCACAAGAAACGATGGAACTGGATCTGGAAATCCCGTCTTCTCTAGTTCAGACCGACGGACACCTAAGACGATCCAACAGTGCACCCATGATAAATGGCTTGAGGTTTCTACAACATTGCTGCATAGTATTTCAGTGACCGTGTTTGTCCTTATTCCACACACAATGAAGTAACCACACTTACAGTGACCTCTTGCTGAGAAGACACATGGTTGGTCTGTTTGTCATTGCAGTGATAACTCCCAGGTGTTCCAGAGAGAGGTCCTGCGTAGCCGGAGAAATAGCACTACGGTTGTCAACAGGCCGAACATGGTACCAGACTTCAAACACATGTTCACTCAAGTACCGTGTGTCTGAATCTGAATCTGCATTGAATGTTCTCCTCTCTGCTCGCGTCCTCCTTCGCAGGTCCCTTCATCACCTATTCGCGTCCCCAGCACCAGACTTCATCAGATAAAACAAGTAAGGAAGGGAAGCGTTGGTTTTCGACACCTTTTTGGAGATGTTTCATGATTAAAGGCAGCATGTCAGACCACTGTCTCCCTCTCGAGCCATAGTGTCTTAAATGTCTTAAAACACATGCTAGAGGAACACTGTTTGGAGTCCACAGGGCCATCGATCTTAAAGAGTTGATCATTTGGTAGTATCGGACTCCTACAGATAAAACAGTGGCTCTGATGCGATGGCATGAGAGAATAATGCCTAGTTCTTACGTTTAATATCTGTTTGTAGAATATATATAATATGCTCGGATGACTTGTTGAATCCAGACCGTGTAACCATTAACCTTCTGGTGTGCTCCTGCAGGAGGAGGGTGTAGACGTGATGAACAGGGAAACTGCTCATGAGCGGTAAGCTGTGTATTTATGAATGCAGTTTGGCGGATAAAGAGATTTAGTTTGAATTATTACTTCTGAGTCGCACTCACTTATTCCTTTTTGTTTTCACACAGGGAGATCCAAGCCGCCATGCAAATGAGCCAGTCCTGGGAAGAAAGTCTCAGCCTGGTAAAGATCGTCTCTTCATTTCCTCCCCCGACCTGTGTTGTTGCCATGTTCTGTTGTTTTGAAACCTTGAGAGTCGGCTCTGTTTTGCCTTCACTCTGCATGTTTTTGGCCTCGAGCCATCGATGGCCGCTCCATCTCAGTGGAGAGTGGACCAGCACAAACATGCTAGATTAACAGTGGAAACACTTGGAGTTAACAGGGCCACCAGTCTTTCAAGGTCAGGCTGAGTTGGTAGTATAATACTCCGACACTCTTTTCTTTTTGAATGCTTTTCACGTCCTCACTATGTAGTACTGTAGAGATGTGACACATGTGTTTGGTACTTGTGTGTGTGTTCTCAGAGTGACAATGATTTGGAGAAGTCCGCGTCTTCGTCTCCAAAGCGCGTCGACTTTGTCCCCGTGTCGCCTGCACCGTCTCCGACCAGAGGGATTGGAAAAAAGGTAGGTCTGACCTCCGCACGGTTCCATGCACATGACCTGATTAGACTGTGAACGACCAGATGAAGGAAGCGGTTGAAGCATTTTCACGGTTTGTGGTCACTTGATTCTCCTAACGACTTGCAATCAGAGCGATGACTGGAAGCCTGAGGCAGGAAGCAATTTATTGGCAGCAGGAAGAACACAAATATTTCTTCCATTTGAGTTTAAACTGTTTCTTTCGTGCAAGCCACTCCAGTGTTTGTGTGTAGTAACACTTCATTGCATTTGATTCATTCGCTTTTTTTGCCGCGTATTTTTGTGGGAGGGAAAAGTAAAAAACTAATCGGTGTTTTCTTAATTTCTTGCAAGCAGCAGTGTTTCTCTCCGTCACTACAAATCCTAGTGAGCAGCAATGGCCTCACACCCAGCCCGATCCCCAGCCCAACGCGCCGCTTCAGGTGAGCAACGAGTCGTAACTCTGTAACGTACTGGTGTTACTTTAGTCTCGCTCTAAATAAATGTGTTTGAGAGTACTGATTGGGACTGAATGTCAAAATCTAGTGGTTTGACAGTGTTATTTCTGTTCTTAGCCGACGGAGTCAAAGCCCGATCAACTGCATCAGAGCCAGCATACTTGGGCCAATGAAACGCAAAGGTGAGGTCCCACACAAAGCTCCACTGGATGCTTTGAGAATGTTTTCTCTTATATAATTTATATGACACCACAAGGGCCACTTCATTTATGGATAGAAGTGATCTCTAAATGCCAGAGTCCCTTTACCTCTGCAGGTGAGATGGAGACAGAGAGTCAGCCTAAGAGGCTCTTCCAGGGCACCACCACCATGCTGTCCTCTGACATCTCCAGCCTGTCAGAGCTCAGTTCCTGGTAAGACTCAGTGGATCAACAAAACAATGATTATGATGATCTGTACAAAAAATGAATATAACAAACCAACTTTAAATATAGTTTTCAGGTCATTGACTCGAATTGGAGTGTTTTCTATTTAGATTCATTCATTTATAGTACTAAATATTACAGTAATGGAATTAAATGTGAGGTTTTCATCGGCTCTCTCCCGCACAGTGAAAGTATTGAAGCCTTTAGTCTTACTGAACTTGCCTTTTTTTCCTTTCAGCCACTCTCCAGATTTGCTGGACGGCAGCCTCAGCAGCGTCAGCTCCTCCACAGACTCGCCGGGCAAAATGGAGGGAGTGTCGCCTTCCTCGTCCAGCAATTCGCCCTTCGCTTCCCTCCAGGATCTGTCCCCAAAGTGAGCACGGCTTAGCGAGAGACACTGTAAAGGACCGGCGCCAAAAAAGTCTCCCTTTAGAGAACAAAGTTCCCTTCTCAGACCCTCCTCTCCGTGTTTGTGTCCGAGCGGCTGTTTTCATGGCTACATTTCGGAGGGTCTAGGTATGTTTTTAATTAAGGGAACGAAAGCCATGGATGAGTTTGAGTGTGGAAGGCCTAGCGTGACTAGGAGTCACTGAAGACACTGTGAGCACCAGCTGCTAGTAGAGGATCTTGGATGGTGCTTGGCTTCGTTGTGATAGTGTTCATAAGTGGCTATGCTTTTTGTCAGACCAGTTCCCCTCACTGGAGAGACATTGAGCACTGGACATAAAAAAAGAAGACAATTTGGATGTGTAGGCTACGTGTTCTGTCTTTGTGCTGGAGAACGTCGGTCCACCGGCCTTTTTGTATTTACACAAGTCTGCAGATTTTGTAAGAAAATCTTTAACTTATTGTTTTCCTGCTCTGTTTGTAATTATGTACATATTAACCGTGTCGGATGTCGTACATAGTTTTTAAGTTTGTGACCGGCTGTGAGGTGAATGTGCGCACAGGTCTTACGCAGCAGAAGTTTTCTTTGTAAAGGAACAAACTACTTTGGGGCTACACCTGTGGGGATTTACTTACTGTTTAACTGTAAGAAGTTGTGTTTTCAGAAGATTTTTCTTCATATTTTTACGATATAGGAGATTTTTAACGGTGGGGATTTTTTTTTTTCTTTCATTTTGGCTTTCATGCCCCCCTCTCCCTGTGACTTGCTGCAACTTTTATTGCCTAGTATGAACGATTCATGCACCTGCAGTTGGAACGTGGATGGAAAAGAAGATGCTCGTCACTGTGCTCTCAACACTAAAGGTTCCTCTGTATCCTGTGTTTTTGTAGATAAGCAGAGTATAGAAACTATTTTCTTTCTACTGGGGGAATGTTCTTATTTATGGAGGGGGGGGGGGGGAGAAAGAAGTTTATTATAAGAATCGGACGGCGATGAATTTCTCACCATTTGTGTTGTCGTTTACAGCTAATCAGCACAAACAAAAATGGCACCGCCGCATTGTGAGGGAAGAGACTGCTGTGGTTACTTTTATTCAAATAGCTTTTTGCACAGGATGCACAATCCTGTGATGTTTCAGCCCGTGTGTAAGCAGGGCAGAAGCGAAACTTGACTTTGTCGTAAAACATGATCCAAGAGTGCAGTATGTAGAGGTAAAGCCTGTACTGCCAATTTTGTATTTCTTTTTGCACCTAAATTAGCTTTGAACTGTCATGGCCCCGGTGTCCATATCCCCTGTGTAACTCATACATATGAACCCTTTCAAGGCTCTGTCGCCATTAACGTGTATGTAAAAAAAAGAGAGGGCGCCCTTTTAACTTAAAGACGTGTGGCTGCAGTTATTTTTATTTTTTAAACAGTCTTTTCCCTCGATATACAAAGCAGTCAGCCTGCCCTGCTGTAAAGATATTTGATATTTTCTGTCGTCTTATGAAGTGTTCAGGGCATGAATTCAGCAAATCTTCTACTGTGTGACTGCAATGGAAAGGCTGCAATCTGCCACGCTGGCTCACAACTTGGCTGTGCTCGTGTCTTTTTGTGATTGCAACTGTGGCGGACGTCAGGACTAAATAAATTATTTCTTTATTACGAGCGTGAAGCTGTTTTGAATGTTCCAAGGAGAATCTTTTGTCCTTTTAGCACTAAAACACATTACTGAAGGATAGTGTCATTTCTAAACCTCAACCAACTTGTAAGGTACACAAAATAACCTGATCTCATTTTATACCAGACAGCTGTATTGAGCCTTTTATTACACGTACATGTGTAGCATTGATGTAGCGAACAAACCACTATCTTCACAAGAAGGTTTCTGATTTGGTGACGTGTGAAAGTATCTTTAAAAACTCAACCAGATAAAGTGTCCACACATGCAAATGACTGCATTTAGTCCTCGGCGTCTATACTGAAAATGCTTCAAAGCATGAATATAATGATGGTTACAGGTCGATACCACAACGTTGTAATGGCTTTATATACACATGTATAATGTTTGCATGTAGGTTCCTTCACACTCGAGTTAATCATAGTCTGGTACATAACGGCAACAGAAACACGGACACGGGGAGTATGAGCTCAAACAACACTTTGAATGGCCTCGTGTTTCCTGTCTCTACCGTTCTTTAGACCGACACACTGGGGGTCTCCATTTGCGTCGGTTCAGTTTGCGTACAAACACAAATACGTGGATTTGAAAACAAGTATACTAAAATGTATTTTGCACGGGGCGGAGCCAGCTGAGTAAGTACCACGACCCGTCCGCTGTACTCGTTGAAGCGTAGCAGAGCCTCCAGGGTGTGAGGGTGTTCTCTCCGTCTTTGGATCATTTCCCCTCCTCTCAGCACTTCATGTGCGTAGAATGACCATCGTAAGAAGACCTAAAATATAACGAGAAAACATTCTAGTTCACAATTCACTTATTTCTTTTATTTTAAACAAATTACGCAACCTCATTTCTTATTTTTGCTCACCGAGAACATAAGCAGCTACAAGTTTCTTGTTAATACTTAAGTGGAGGTAGACAGGCACAGTAAAGTCTTGCTCCCCCAGGGTTGGGAGCATCAGGGCGGCCATACACACCAGCCCAAGCAGCACCGTCAGCAGGCTGGGGCCCCCAGCAGCAGGACGGCTCTCTGTTAGGCGCACACACACACACACATGCACATAAACCCAGTGGTTAACAAGCGGATTTAAAAGGATGTAAACAAAGACCGGAATCATTAACGCGTTAAGTGTGTGATACTTTGTGTGGCTCTGAGCCACGAGAGCACATTGGTTACTACCAGAGACATGAATCTGTAATAATGGGACAGCAGTAAATAGTGTATTTGTTGGGGGACTATTTTCTGTCGCGGATTTAGTTCACTACTTGGCTGCAGGACGGTGCATGTGAGATTGGCTCAAAATAAACTACAGTGTGTGTGCATGGTAATGCAGCACTGATGTGCTTTTAATAGATAGTGGACAACAATACACACACGTCAGGCTTTGGATACACAAACGGTATATGTCGATAAGATCAATTTGCTGTTGGTTGCTCTTTTCACCAGATGTGTTGACAATACAAGATATATTGCAAATCATCAGATTATCCTTTAACACATTTAAGAATTTTAGAGAGCGGGAAGGAGCTATAGCTTAAGAACGTTTCAGCTAAACAACCCAAGATAGGGTTAATGACACTGAAGCTGATGTAATGTAACTATGTAAATCATGATATCAGCAAAAAATACATGCTAAACACCTACCTATCATGCTGCAAGATCAAATGTGAAGGTGATCGCAACCTGTGTGTTGTTATTGTCACTTTTTTTTTTTTTAAATACTAGAGGCGAGTAGTCAGTTATGTTCACAGACCACAAAAAGCAATGTAAAGCATTGTAAAGTGTCCAGTGAAAAGTTCCTGAACTTTAAGTTTATAAGCATCTGGCTCCATCTAGTGGTAAAACCACACAACGGCCCTTCGCCCTACCTGTCGGACACGCAGCAGTCTGCTCGAAAAACTCGCTGACCGCAAACTGCTCTTTAAGTCGGCGCTCCTCATCTTGGAAGCGGGGGCTGGGCGGCTCCTGCGAGGCTGAGGGGCGGAGCGTGGCCGTCACCTCTTTGTGGCCCAGGGCTTTCCTCTGACTCTGCTCCGACACCTGCAGTCGGAACTTGTCGTACACCCCATAGTGGCACGCGCGCACATCTCTGTGTCGGATTACTCTGTTGTGGACACGAGAGAGTTAGATTGACTCCTCGCACGGCCAGATGGGAAAGTCGGGCTGTACAAAACAACCACCTGACTTCAAAAAAGATAACAGTCAAATTTGCCCAAGAAACCTAAAAGTCAAACTCACATGTCGACACAGCACTGTGGCTTGACTGCTCCAGTGGCATCAACCACAGTGTATTTGTTTGGCGCTGTGCACAGCACTGATAAAGAGAAGGGAAAAAACGCACGCACACACACTGGTTATCTACATTATCTGGTGTTTTGATCAAAAAAACAAACCCAAATGGCTCGTGTTTTACCCTGCACACTGACCTTTAAACTTGAGGGCGAACTCATAGGGGTTGTAGAGGGTGAGCACCTGCTTGTGAGATGTCTGCTCATCGGCGTAGAAGATGAGCTCAGTGGGGAACACGAACACGGGAAGGCTTCCCTCCACCAGCTCAGGCTGTCGATGCTGCTGCTGCTGCATTGGCTCCAGCTGAGCTCGTCCCCTTCCCCGTCCACGGTCTGCCTGGGCCCCCCCACCCCTCTTGCCACGAGCTATCACGCTGTGTAGACTCCCTTTAGGTGGAAACGGCACTTCCCGCTCTCATCGCCACAATGCGTTACTGTGAAGAGACACAAGTGAGGAATGATAAGAGGCCCTGGCATGCCACTTATTTACATTTTGTGACACTTGTTCCAATACATTTCATGAGGAAATATTGTATTTGTTATTCCATGTATGCATCCAGCAGCTGTTGTTTACTTTGCACCTGAATGTTTTGCATGAGACAAATACAATAAAGCTCATTTAATTCCCTTCCAAGGATTCAACTACAGCCCAACTGATACTGAGGCCAATACTACCATTGATATTTAAGAGTTTAACAAATGTAATCACTATAGGCTATTTTAATGGTGCTAATGATAAGTTATGTAATTCTGACACCGTTTTATATTCCCCTCAAATATGTAACCAATTCCACTGCCCTGGTAAAAAAAAAAAAAAGAAGGTTCAACAGCCCTTTAATTTCCCAAGAACCAACGTGTCAGTGAAGCAGCTTGTGCCCTTCTACCACTGATCTATAGAGTGTACTGACATGTTGTATTACATTATGGTATGCCAACTGTTCAGGAGAAGACAAAAGAGCTCTCCAGAGAGTCAAAAACACAGCCCAGAAAATAATTGGACATCCCTTGCTTACAGAGATCATCTTCTGATCACGCCACCTCCTCAGAGGCAGCAGCATTCTGGAGGATGCAACTCACCCCGATCTCTTCTCTCTGCTGCCGTCTAGAAGGCGCTACAGGGTATTTAAGGACTACACGTCCGGGCTCAAAAACAGTTTCGACCCAAGAGCCATCCTTGAACTGAACACCTCAAAAGTCCCCCACCACCACCAATATAATCACACCCCCACACCACAGGACTAGAGCTGAAATAGCTAAAAATGAAGAAATGTGCAATACCTGTATACCTGCAATGATATATCTATAAAGTGGAATAGTACCTGTATATGTCTCTTCTGTTATCTATTGATAAAGCACTTCTACTGCATTTTTTAAATATGTCATTGTGTCACTATGGCAGGTGCATGTGAGGAGTGCTAAATGTGCAGTTTTTGCACAGCAAATTTTGTTGTACACTGTGCAATGACAATAAAGGCATTACATTTATCTGCATTCATCACTTCTTGTTACTCATTGAAGAGCATACATACTAATACATTTGTCCGAACTGCACACTTAATTGCCAACATATATTTCTTTAAACTAACTAAACTTTGAATGCAGGACTATTTTGTAATATAATCTATACATTAAGTATTTGGATGTTGTTGTTTTCAGCCAGAGGAGTATAATTGAATAAGGGTAGAAGGCAGGCCGGATCAATTTAAGTTCATGGAACTTACTGAAGTTCAAAATGGCAAACATTAGAAAGTAAACTCGATGTGGCTGGTCACGTGCCCTGGTGTGTTTACATGGTTAGGGTAGAGCTCAAGGAACCGGTCTCGTGGTGTTGCAACACATTTTGTACTCAATGTACACACTCAAAAAAAACATCATATTTGTAGCAACATAGCTTTAACATCAGTCAGGTAGTTTTGTACTAACTTTGCCCTCTTGGTATTCGTATTTGGATAAGGTGTAAGCTAACTTGTAAGCTACCTTAAACTGCAGTGTAATCATAGGTGACAACGTAATGAGGGCTTTTTGCAAGTGTATTGGTTATATATTTAGCAAGAGGGACATTTAGGACAAATCAACCATATAACCTCTCTAACGTAATTCTACAGTTTGGCTGCATTTGTTAGCTCTGACACTGTAATAACACGTAGCTATGGTGTAATGCTAACGCTGTAACGTTACATAGTGTTAGCGTTAGCTAGCGTTAGCCGGCTAGGAAACCCCCAGATGTTAGCCAATAGCCACTTAAACGTTGTCCGCCCGCCGTGTCATCGCAGAAAATAAAACACAGTTGTTTCATGTCAAGACAGAACTGAGAGCTTACCTTGTTGTCAGCACACGGGTTCGTATAACGCTGGTGCTTCTGTTCCCACCCTGTTGTTGTTTCTCTTCAGCCTTCTTTTCTTTGTCAATAATATACCGCAGACCTCGCAGTGCATGCTGGGAAGGCGGAGGGCGAAATGCGTGCAAGACGTCAACAAAGCAGACGTAAAGTGCTCCAAGCAAGGCGTAAGATGTTTGTAATAACTTAATGTACGCGTATTAACGCAGTAAACAAATACAAATTCAGTTAGGCTCTATTATATAATACTTTTGAGGTATTAACTGATTTATAGGTATTGGTAATCATATAATAAGTATCATAAGTAGCTAAAAATTGTGATCAAATATAGCTACTTTAGGCTATATACTCAACTAGATTGAAGTGCTATGCTTTTGTTTATCAGGCTATTTCACCTTGCACAGACAGAGAAAAGTAAAAGCCTTCAGTAGGTTGATGTTGAATCGCCTTTGCATGAAAAAAACATCCGCCATCCAAACTGATTTTCCGTGCAGCACATAAAATAAGAAAAGCAAGTTCAGTGTTATATGTACATTGTAAGCAGATACACCTTTGTGGGAAAGATAAGGCTCATCTGGAGGTAGGCATTATGTCTGGGTTTGGGTACTGTGACTTTCCACTGACCTTTAAATCTATGAGGCATTTATTCTAACCTCTTTTAATACAAAGTTTCAACGTATAATAAACATACGTTTCATTGTCATTTGTACAATACTGGTAAGCTATTTGATTACGTGTTAAAAGAGCATATCAAGAAGACCCTTAATGTAACAGCGATGCTGCCCTCAAGTGCTGTCGGATTTATTACTCATCATGAGAGCACATGCGGATCGGGTGGTACCTTTTATGGTTTTAGAGGCTTGATTGTGTAAGCGACTTTTCCACTGTTGTATTTCCTCTCTAATATGGATTTAAGGGTCTATTTGAACTTTTATATATGTGTATTTTCTATCTCTATTGACTTTTCTTTGTGTATCTAGTTTTTAACCTAAAAGTGCATTTTCACTTAATTCTGTCATTACAGCATATGCCGTTAGTATAACACTTGAATAAAAGAAATAATGTCCAACTGAAATATTTTGTATACTTGGTGAGGTCACGTAACTGCACGTGTTCTTGTTATGTTGTGTGAAGAGTCGGAAGGACGCACCCTTTGAGGCGCCTTGAACGCAGCAAGAGAGAGAGACAGGAGAGAGAGAATCAGAGAAAGAGTGTGTGTGTGTGAAGGGGGCGGGATGCGAGGGAATTGGCAAGAAATTTTGAGTAATTTCAGGAGGTCTATAAATATGATATATGCAGCTACAACGTTATCAGTTGTCTTATTTCAAGCCAGATAGGCTTCTTTGTAATAAGAAATACATATATTAATAAACACACCAGGGCCATAGACGATGCTTTAGCATACCCGCCCGGTTAGCATACGTACAATTGAAACGTTAGGTTGATGTACTGAATCCCATACACACGCCATCTCGACCTCGTTATATATTTATATATTGTACGGGGGCGTGGTCAGCGGACACGGGCTCAGCCAATGGCGTCGCAGCGGAGGGAGCGGGGCGTTCCACTCGGTTAGGAGCAGAAGTTGAACAGCGCGAGCCGAGACAGAGCTCTAGAAAGGCAGATAGGGAGAGAGCAGAGGCAACGGCCCTCTTCTGGAGGGGGGGCTTATTATATCAAATATATACACACACATGTGTGGACTGTCTGGCCGCACGATATAGGTCACATGTGGATAACAGTAATTTTAGAAAAGCATACAACTGCGGCTTTACATTTAAAATGCCTATTTTACTTTTCCTGTTAGACACGTCCGCCTCTATGAATCAGCGCACTTATTTGGGTACGACATATCTGGACGTTGCTAAAGGCGCGGTTGAGGTCTTTATGAAGGTAAAGAATGATTTTACCCCGACTTTTTTCAGCAAGTATGCGGCTTTGGCGAGCTTAGGGTTCCTTGGGCAAGGTCGGTCGAAATTAATATATGTTGTTTTGGCTTTCTTTTTTGACAGCTGCGTGCCCGAGACCCGGCTAGTAGAGGCGACAGGTACATGCTAGTTACATTCGATGATCCACCATACGGAGTGAAGGTAATTAGCAACTGATACAATGTTTACATTTAACCAGTCGAACGTATTTTTCAGTCAGTGAGACTTTATTGTCCTTCTGGTTTGTAGTCAGTGTTGGGCGGCTTCCCGGTGGCGAAAAAACGGCAATTTTTTGCTCCAAATAACCGCAGACCCGGAGCTGCACTGCCTCCGACCATCCAGCGGACATTTTGCTTTTGTGTTGAGAAAAGTCTCGGGCGTTGAGATGGAGGCGGGGAGATTTATTATCGCCTCTGACGTCGCTCTTTTTTTGAAAGTACAATGTCTCGATTGGTCAAAGAGCCTGCCAATCATTCTCGACTCCTCCCCTCGCATCACCCATGCATTACCATTGGCCAGTCTGGGCTGAAAGTTGATCAGCCCTCTTCATCATTTTTATGTGAGTTCGCTGGAAGAAAATTATCATTATTCATATGATAATTATTTGTCATACCGATACTATGAGCATTATGGCCCAGAATACAAACACTCTCGTTGTCATACACGTAGGCAACACAACAAAACAACTGTGAATCACTGCAATAATTTCAGGGGTTTCATGTCAGCAAAGTTATACCCACCAATAATCAATTGACTTGTTTTATGACCTGGCACACATCTCTCTCAGAGCTTCTCAAGCCCAATAAAATACAATCCTTAGTACCCACACAAGTCCCTGATCTGCTTTAGTGGCTGGTCTGTTTTAGGAATCTCTTAACTTGCCTAACTGTGTCTACAAACACCACTCTACTACTCTCAACACAACATGCACCGCAGCACTCACTCTATCCCATGTCATAAATGACGTGAAGACATATAGAATAGTGCTTTCCTAATATTTTTTGTTTTGTTTGTATGCCCCATGGCCAAATTACAAAATACCAGAGCCGGGCAATAATTGATGAAATCCTCTTTAATAGCTGGTGTGAGGCTTAGAAGATGAATACAGAGGTAGATGTCATAGAGTATTGTGCAACTCAAAAGATGCTTGTAACGACTAGTTAATTCCATATTTTTTTGTTTTTAATAATGCTGTGTATATAAAATATGTCAGTGCACTTTGCTGCAGCGCCCCAACAGCTGCAGCTTTTTTCCAACTAAATGATAAATATTATAATATTTTACTCTCTTCATATACATGCCCAGGCATCAGGAACTAACTTCTAATTATCATACAAGCAAGAAATAAATTAATATAACCTTTTATAACTTTTGATTGATGAGCAAAACCAAAGTCAAGTGAAGGTACTTCCCTTTTATTTAATATAATTTTAAACATTTATGATAATACTTTTATTGCAATATATTTTAGTGTACTTTCGACTCAATTTTGAGTTTTTCTTCTTCTTTCAGCTAATGTGCAGTCTTGCTTAGTATTAATATTTAAAGCAGTGCAAGAAGCAAAGCTACCTGTCAGACTACATGTGGCTCTTTATTGACCTCCAGAAGGACCATTTAGAGCTCAGCGCCCCCGTACTTATAATATCATTGCACACTGCCGCTGTAGGCCTATGTGTAGGACCGGTGTCATGACTACATGTTATGAGTGGATTCCATTGCTGTCATTCATGTGATGCTTCCTACTACACTCAGGCATTGACCTTGCAGTTTTCGCCAAAGCCCAGATCATTGCTTCACGCGTCCCACTGAACCAGTCTTGTGTATTTCAGCCAAACGATCCAAGAAGCGCTACTCCTTGTAGGGTCTGCCCTCAACTCCTCTTCCTTCTGCTCTTCCTCTCTTTGTCTTCGTCACTTTCTCCTTTGTTGTTTCTGCCGGCTCTGTGCACCGAGGATTATGATGAAAGGACGAGGTTATCCTGAATGGGGCTACTCTGATTGCACAGTTACAGAGGCAATAAATTGTTGATGTAGAGCGGGAGAGAAGGAGGTTGGGTGAGAGGAAAATAGAAATATTCTGTCGTCTGAATTATTGAGCGCAAACTAAGCCTTACATTTTCACTGGCCTACATGAGGGTATATGTCTTGAGTTATTACTTTTCTACTATGTATGTGGATGTGTTTCCACCTTTAGTTTTGCCTCGGCTGCTCAGTGAAGCTGTTTGTTTGTATGACCGTATGATATTCATCACTCTGAGCTTTTCCTAGAAACTCCACCAAAGATTTGTGGTTTTGGAAGGATATCCCACCCATGATAATCCAAAAATCCATCCACTGGCCTCATTCACAGAGCACACATGTAGACTACTCTCTCTCTCTCTCTCGCTCCCTCTCACTCCCTCTTCCTCTCTCTCTCTCTCTCTCTCTCTCTCTCTCTCTCTATATATATATATATATATATATATGTGTCTTCAGCCTCTCTCTCTCTCCCGATAAAGGAAGTGGTAAGCTTGCAGGTCATCCTTAGATTAAGCATGAAGCTGCACAAGTAAGGCACTTGACCCCGGCTGGAGAAAAGTCCGAGACCAGTTCCACACCCACATGCCCTCCCGTGGGAGCATGTCTTCGTCACGGAGGACAGGCGGCAGTGGGGAGTTGTATTTCTGGATGCTTGTCATGTTTGAAATTAGACTCTTTCTTAAAGCACCATCCAGCTCAAATGTTGGCCTGAATTTCAACAATATTATCTTCCGTTCCCAGAGCTTGACACAAGCTGATCTCATTTTATGGTTACTTGTTATGTCATGTTGCACACAATCAACGGGTTGCTTGGATATATATATACTCATTTCACCAATGATGGTAGTCGCATGCACGACACAAATCACTCTGTGGCTGTCAGGGAACAACGGTGTCTGTTGGGTTTTCCTTTGTAATTACATGGTATGGCTGTCCGTGGGTGTGGATCTATTTTGGATTGGCTTCCTCCGATGCTCAGCCGAGTAGCTGTTTGCTGTGCCGTCCGTTCAGCACACTGATGTGTGTGTTTCAGGCTGGCTGGAAGGAGAACCACGCCACCTTCATGTGCGAGCTGAAGAACCTGCAGGCGTCTGGGCTGACTACGCTAGGTCACGCTCTCCGCACCGCCTTCGACCTGCTGAACCTCAACCGCCTCGTCTCAGGCATCGACAACTACGGACAGGTATTCTGACGCCAACATCCTATTGTGCATTTCTCTGGCAGCAGTTGGTAATGAGTTAATCATTACCGGCCGCAGCGGCGTGTGGCTAGTGCTGTTTTCACATTAGTTAGTGTGTGTGTGTGTGTGTGTGTCATCGTGGCAAAATGTGCTCCTGGAGACATCGACTGTAGAAGGAACTGCCACAGAAGAGGGTTTGACTACTTTGTTTGTAGTTTACATGTCTGTCTTTCTGTGGACACATTTCGCAATAGCGTCTCAAACGTGTAAGATGCAGCCATGAAACTTTACAGGTGTGTAGTTCAGAACAAAATGAAGGCCAGCCTTAAAGTTGGTTGTGGTCCGAGCAAGGACCTCAGAAGTAGGCTGCTGAAGGAGCCATTGGCCCCCCAACCTCACACCCGTGGCTCGATTTGGTGGCGCGACTGGTGTGATCCCATCGCCACATGGTCTCTTGTATGAGCTGCTTTTCAAGCAAAGACACCAAATGTTGCCTTTTCACATTTCTCACTGTTTCCTGACATTTTGTGGAACACACGCTTAATTGACTTAATTGAGAAAATACATGGCAGATTACACAATAAGGAAAAATATGTTAGTGGCAGCCCCAATTTTAAACATTACGCACAGTATTTACAGATCGAATACTTTGACTGTATAAAAATCCGATGAATCTGCCTTTTTAGCTTTTGTCTTTTAGACTCCAGACAAAAGTAGTCGTGATATACCAGCTAGTAAGTGAGTGTAAAACAAGGCTTTCCAATGCACACGGTATATGTGGACTTTCCCTGGATAAATGAAGGGTTTGATAATGATAGCAGCCAAGCGTTCAGCTGGCGTGTCTTTATTCCTTCACCTCGAGACACAGAGAAGAATAGCGACATTTGATCGCAGCCTAATCCACTCCGTCGTCCTCGGATACCGTTGCGCTGTCATCAGCTCCTCACACACTGCATTTCTGCAAACCCCTGCCCGAAGGCACAGAAAGATTACTACGCTCCAAGTAGTGTCACGAGGTGCATGCGGCGTGTGTGTGTGTGAGTCTACTTAGGCATTCTGCGTGTGAATTAGTGAAGGCTGACCCCTACAGCACAGTGGTGGAGGCCTCCGTCCTTAACAAGGAATACAAGGACAGATGCATTCTGACACAAAGCAAAGACTACAAGCTGCAACAAACAGTTCATAGTAGTATTCAGGAGGTTATCGCAGGTGTGAAGCTAATACCATGCTAAATACTGTGTTCAAGTAGTCCTTTGGTCAAATAGTATACCTGAATTTTGCCTTCACTGTTAGCACGAGAGAGCAGTTATGTTTTATGTTTTAGGAGATGGGAATCATCTTGAGACACACACGGCACAGTGTGAAGAAAAGAAAGCAGACTACTGAGAATAAATGGGGTCATTGTTCGCTTGGACTTGGGTGTTAATTGCTGAATGTCCCTGTTTCCGTCTCAGGGCCGTAACCCCTTCTTCCTGGAGCCATCTGTGATCATCACTATCACTGATGGGAACAAGCTCACACACAGCTCTGGGGTGCCAGATGAGGTGAGAGCCCAAAACAAATGCGGCCACTCTGTACTGTTTGTAGTAATGCGATCCTTTCAGACTGTGTGATGACGTGAATTGTAAGGTTTGGAAAACGGTGGAAACCGGTGACCTGCGGCTGCTTTTACATATAAAACGCTCCCATCATGCTTTTCTTTCTCTGCCCTGTCTGCTGTGCAGCTGCACCTGCCTCTGAACTCTCCACTGTCAGGCAGTGAGCTGACCAAGGAGCCCTTTCGCTGGGACCAGCGTCTGTTTGCGTTGGTGCTGAGGCTGCCAGGAGCAGCCACGCCAGACACAGAGCAGCTCGGTAGCGTCCCCACGGACGAGTCTGCCATCACCCAGATGTGTGAAGTCACCGGAGGTACGTCTTGTTCTTACTTCGGGTCCAGTGTTTTATTTTAAGAATCATTGCGCGCCTGCGTTCATAATTCCTTCTATTATACAAGATAATTGTGCCTCCGTTTTGTTTTTTTTCTCCCAGGGCGATCGTACTGTGTGCGGACACAGAGGATGTTGAACCAGTGTCTGGAGTCTCTGGTCCAAAAGGTTCAAAGTGGTGTCGTCATTAACTTCGAGAAGACGGGGCCAGATCCGCCTCTGGTTGGGGACGGTGAGTGGCGCACCGAATGGACACAAGACAACGACTCTACCGTTGTGCAAATCCTGCCTTCACAATTGTTATGTGCATGTATTACAAGACATGTAGTAATTACATTTTGATCGTACCAAAATGTTTCTGACTCAGAGAGCCCAGTCGAGTGAATAAAACACGAGTTTCCGAGCACATTATCTCGACACATTTCACACAGTAGGTTTAAGCAAAGATACGGAGGGCAGTAAAGCAGGTGAAAGCAGAAGAGACTCCTCTTATCTTGGCTCACCACAGTGCAGTTATTCACTAAAAGGAGAACTGAGTCATAAAAGAGTGTCTGTGTAAAGAAATGCTCTGAGATAATTTGACTCACTCATCGTTTTACTGGTAAAAGGAAAGATTCCAAGTTTAATGTATTTGTTCATTTTTTTAAACAATATTTAATGAAATGATTAAAGTTTATTTGGATCCGTGACTCAGGGTTTGTTTGAAAGCGGTTGCTCTCGAATTCACATTGTTTGTGTTTGAAATCTGGTTGAGAAATGTGTTCTGCCGTGTATAATATATGTATTTCTTATTTCACAGACAACTCAGTGGAGTCCAGTCGGCCTGTGTCATCCTTCAGCACACAGCCGTGGCACAGTTGCCACAAACTCATCTACGTGCGACCGAACCCGAAGACGGGGGTTCCGGTCGGGCATTGGCCCATTCCAGAGTCCTTCTGGCCAGACCAGAACTCTCCGAGCCTGGTGAGCAGAGAGGCTGAACCACATCTCAGCAGCGCCTTCAGTTAACTCATAAAGAACTGGTCGACACAAACTTTCTCTTTCACTTTTAACTCTGTGTTGTTTTATTTGTCTTTCTGTCTCTCTTTAAATTGTTATACCTCTAGCTGTGGCTGGAGGTATCATTTTTTTGGGTTGTGATCTCTCAGTGGCGCCTCGACAGAATTTCTTCAAATTTGTCACAAACGTCCACTTATACTCGAGGCTGAACTGATTAGAAGTTGGTGGTCAAAAGTCACTGTGACCTCACAAAACACCTTTTTGGTTATAAGTCAAGAATTCATCTGCTGATTGTAACAATTTCGCACAAATATCGGACAAAATGAAGCGATGGCATTTTGGACAGGCGTGGATGTAAACTGCAACACGACTTGTTGACGGAGGCATACAACCTAGTTCCTGTGTCCAACTTCAAACTCATGCTGAGATCTCGACTATCTGTTGCTTTTTAAAGAAAACACCACATGGGTGCATATCGCAGATACATATGTCTAAAAAGCTTCTTCTGCGATCTCCATCTCCCGCTCCCAGCCACCTCGCTCTGCACATCCCGTGGTGCGATTCTCCTGTGTGGACTGTGAGCCCATGGTGATCGACAAGCTTCCCTTTGACAAGTATGAGCTGGAGCCATCTCCACTCACCCAGTACATTTTGGAAAGGAAGTCTCCACACATGTGCTGGCAGGTATGGGAGACATACACACATCCATCAGCTCTGTTGGCTTGTTTTCACCGTCTCTGGGACTTTTCTAAAAAAAAACTTGGTTCCAGTAGTTGTGAATTGTAATGATTCTAATTCCTGCAAAGACTTTATAAGTGTCCTTATAATTGTCCTTGATGTCCTCAGGTGTTTGTTAACAGCAGCGGGAAGCAAAACGACCTGGGACAGCCGTTTGGGTACCTTAAAGCCAGCACATCTCTGACCTGTGTCAACCTGTTCGTCATGCCTTACAACTACCCAGTGCTTCTTCCACTCCTCGGTAAGACATAATGCCAGTAAATCTTTAAAACTTCTGGCTCAGTATGTCAGAGCTAATATTACATTAAAAAAGCTTCTTCTGGGTCATTTTATCCTCTGCAATCATTTTTGGTTATAATCACAAGTAACAGGCCGATGCTGCATTCGATTGACCTCAGAAATCTGAATTAGGAGCTGTGAACGACGTCACACACGAGTTGACTGCGTTCCAGCACAACAACTCGGAAAAAGCTTAATGGGGTTTTCTTTGGCCAGGTTAGCTATTATCAGCAATACCAGTTGAAAACAACACATCACGGCGGTATTATGTACATACAAACACGTAGCAATATGTTCAAAGATAGGAGTTAAACAGCACCGCATGTAATGACTGATCGAATGAGACACAAGTAAGACAGAAGTGCCATTGAACAGCATATTACTACAGCTTTTTTACTGTTTACACGGAGCAGCCGTAAACATAAACAGTTCATCTTCAACAATTTTTTTTTTTTAAAAAGCCTACAGCAGCATCACATATCTTGGAATCACAATGACAAACAAAAAAAACAGGTGACCTTCTTCAGGTTAGGCTCATGGAAAACTCCATATCTCTATGGCTCAGAGAAAATCTAAAATATATTTCTTCCGGACCAACATGTCTTTCATCCCTCTTTGTCATTTTAACCAGCTGGACTCAATCGTTCTGCCGTTCAAACAGAACTACAAAACTCTACGAATCACCAAAAAATACCCAATTCATTCAAAAGACGAGGGTGGTTTATGCCACACTTTAAAGCGAACTACTGTGAAGCTCACTCAAACATTATATTGGGGTGGGAAAAGGGCCCTGTCAATGATTCAAGTGACTGCCCAGCTCTGCCATTAGAGCGGCCTCTTTGTAGTAAGACATTACAGCAGTAGTCATTAAGAATACTCTTAAAATCCAAAAGACATAAGCACGTCATACCTTGCTCTGCGCTTTGTCGTTTAAGCAGCTACAGAAAACATTTAATATACCAGCCTCAAAATTCCGAGACTATGGAAAGTGTTTCCATAAGGCCCTTGATAGTATCAATGACTCTGTGCATCAATGACTTTGTGTATCAATGACTTTGTGCATCAATGACTTTGTGTATCAATGACTTTGCGTAGCATGGGGACAGTCTCTGACTTTTATCATTTTGTGCTGAAGACATTATAACGTCAACACAAATGTACTACAGCATAATTGAGAGGTGGGGGGGGGACTGCGGACACAATCTGATTTCAAACAACGCAACCCTTTACAGACTGTAACACGTCTAAAGAGGCAGACGGGACATTGACACATTCTCTTCGGACATGGTGGAAACTTATTGGTATTTAAATGTTGCTCTAAAACCTTAGAGAAAGACCGGGAACCTAACCCACTTGTAGAAACCTAGAAACCCTTTTCTACTCATGTGGAAGTCACACTGCACACCAGCATAATGAAGTGTGGATGAATGTGTTGCATTGAGAAAGGTTGAGGTTCTCTCATAAGAACAAGATTTGAATGTGTGTCCAAATTACTGGTTATGTTGAAGTCCTATGATTTTTTGTTTGTCTCTGTATTTGTGAAGATAATAGTGGCTGAGTTTCTTTGTTTTATATTGAAAATCCTAAAATGAAGGTTTAAAAAACTGTTAATCTCTAATAATGCTATTTTAATAATAGTGATAAGGTATTAAGAAGGATAAATGGAAGTGTATCTCACCACCTGAATGCTGATGTGTGTATAACAGTCGGAGGTGTGCAGGCGGATGGCTCACTGGTCACTGTTCCAGAATGCTAAAGATGTCTTCTCCCCCTTTCTTCGTCTCCTTCCAGATGATCTGTTCAAAGTGCACAAACTAAAACCAAACCTCAAGTGGCGACAGGCCTTCGAGATGTACCTGAAGGCCATGCCTCCATACTTCTTCATGGTAAAGCGATGCGTAATATGTCTCTCATGCTGCCTTTAGTAAAAGCTCACTACATGGATTATTTTTCTGCATGTAACTAACACCCCCAATTTCCTCTCGCCATCTCCTGACAGCCCTTGAAAAAGGCGTTGAGGATGATGGGTGCACCTAATCTTATTGCAGACACCATGGACTGTGGCCTGAGTTACAGCGTCATCTCTCACCTGAAGAAGCTCAGCCAGCAGGTGAAGACTTTGAAACTGTCACCCAAAACCTTCCACTTTGTTCTACTATGTGGTAGAGGAGTTGTAGAATGTGTATACTATTTATATTAATACAAACATATCAGAGGGAGAGTGACTTCCTTCTCTGCTCAGGTAAACAATTACTCCACTATATCTATGTACACAGACAGTAGTTGTTTGCTGCTATATTAATGCTCTGAGTATCAAATAGAGAACGCTTAAAGAGAATAAACAAAGATTATTATTTTTAAATGAATCTTCAAGTATGCAATAGTCATCTAAAAGACTTGATGATGAAGATGTACCCCAAAGTGCTTTGTGGGTCTGTGCTCTAAACAACATTCCTGCTGTGTTGGTATAAAGGCAAAGATGGAATCGGATCGTCTCATCGTGTCTGTGGGGAAGAAGGCTCCACAAGAGCCTGGCATAAAGGTGAAGAACCACTCCAGCTCTTCCTCTCTGGCCCACCGGCAGGACTTCAAGCAGCTGCTGCAGGGAATCACCGGTGAGGGGCCCCTTCGCCTGGCGGACATCAACTTCAAAGAGTTTGCCGGCTTCCAGATCGCCCTGCTCAACAAGGTGGGTTTCTGAGAAGCATGACGTACTTTGTGTGGGCGGGAGAGTTACAGGAAAAAAAGGGCCATATTCTCAATAGTTGTATCTGCTGAAAGGATGCACTGATGTTATTTTACAAAAATAGATATAAAAGATAGTGATATATCGTCAATTGGAAAGTGCAACGTCTGGTAGGTTTTCTCTGACTAGATATGCTGATGTGTTCACAGGATCTGAAAGCTCAAGCTTATCGGAATGCCTACGACATCCCAAGACGGAACCTTCTGGATCAACTCACCCGGATGCGCTCCAATTTGTTGCGGACGTCGCAAAAACTGATCCGAGGGCAAGACGAAGGTATAAAGTCCCGTTGATGCGGGGAAACTTCTAAAAGGAAATGTGATGTTGGAAGTTATTTTAGGTTTTAATTGAATGCTATTGTTCTGCCCCCAATCTGATGACCGCAGCGCTCCAAAGTCCTCGTTTTTACAATTCAGTCATAGGTGATGCTGCAATGCAGTTATAAGAACATCTCATACATATATACAGAGGAATATATCTCTTGATCTAAATTGTTTCAAGCAGATCCAGTTAAGATTCGTTTTCAATGATTTGTCCAAAGACTGCACCGAGACTGAATAGTACTAACCTAATCCCCCCAAAAAGCAATATGAAAAATCTATAGGGCGTCCTGTGTAATTGTTCCAGTATTTTGTTCATGCTAATGAGGTTGTCCTGTGGTTGGTAGACTATCTGCACAGTATCCCAGTGGCTCAGATGGGAAACTATCAGGAATACCTCAAAATGATGACGTCTCCTTTGAGAGAGATCGACCCTGACCAGCCTAAACGCCTGCACACGTTTGGGAATCCTTTCAAGCAGGATAAGAAGGTGCAAACACATCAGCACAAAATACAGCTCGATACATTTTACATAAGCACAGTGTGGCTTAAAGAGACTTCGTCATTTAATAATCAGTCCCTCCATTTTTTAATATTGTGTTTTTTCTCAGGGGATGATGATCGATGAGGCGGATGAGTTCGTAGCAGGCCCTCAAAACAAGAAAAGAGGAAATTCCAACGACGCCAACTCGAGTACCACTATGAAGAGAAGGCGGAGCATGTCCCCGTTACTGCGGCGGCCGCAGACTCCACCGGCGAGCACCAACCATGTGGTGGCGGGAAAGAGTCCGGTAGAGGTTCAAGAGCAGCAGGACCTCCTCAAACCCATCCCACAGCACAAAGGTCAGATTAAGATGTACCTAGAACATGAGAGTGCATCTGCGAGGAAATAATATTGCCCAAACGGCATGGAATAGTAGCTTTAAATTGTTATTTTTCTCGCCCCCCTCAGAAGTGGATGGCAATGACGTGGCGGTCACTGAGAGTAACGGGGACGGGGTTCTTGAGCCGGAGTCGGGGGAGATCTGGCCCGCTGAGATGGACACTGTAGCAGAGAGTCCGTCTCCACTGAGCCTCGAGGAGAAGGCCGGGCCGGGAGAGGCAGATCCGGAAGAGGACATCGACATGGCGGAGGAGAGAGTGGTGGAAGATAGTCTAGATGAGCAGACACTGGAGGAGCAACACAACTGTGACCGGCTGAGTCCACTGAGCCAGCTAGAGGACCCTGACGCTGAACCTGCAGTGCTCGAGACCATATTCATAGCCCCGCTAGATGGGAGCCAAGCGGAGCTGAGGAGTCAGGTCATCAAGGAGGTCCGCAAACCTGGGCGAAGTGAGTCAGTGCAGCACATCACGTTACATTCACCGTTGTTCTAATCTGGCGACGTTAGTGTCACACTGGGTCTCTTCATCTCTGTGTGGCTTTACTTTCTCAGACTATGAGGCAATACTCGGTCTCCTGCAGCAGGTGAAAGGTCCGGTTAATGTTCAAAGGTACTTCATCCAACATGCGATCAAAGAGGCTGTCAGGTAAGAAACAGTGACTCGTTTTATACTTCGAGGTATAGGTTAAGTGAAGAAGTTAAAGCATGGCAATAACCATGTCTCTGACACACATAAAGACTTTTGTATTGTAGATGTAATGTCTTTAAAGCAGGTGTACCGCTTTCTCCCTTTATTCTCTGGTTCTGTCTAACTTCCTTTGCCTCTCTGGCAGGTTCAAGAAGCGAGTACTGATCCAGCAGCTGGAGACGTCCCTCGCCGAGTTGGAGGAGAAGCAGGCGACGTCCTCACAGCTTCCCAATGACCATGGAAGTTAGTGGTCAAGATGTGTTTCGTCACTAGAAATGGGAATGAAGCTCCTATTTTGTGGACTGTTGGATTAAACACCATAAGAAAAGAGACGCCCTTGTCTACTAGCCTCAAAAAGATCAATTGAGGAACTGGAGGACAGTGGGGGGAGGAGAAATGCACTGATAGCAGACACTCCCACTGTCCCTGTACTGATACATCACATCCTGTTGGAGCCGGAGAGTAAGGGGTTCAACTGGAGGAGGGGCCTTCCGGACTGATCCACTGAGGATGAAGTGTAATCCTCTTCGTATTGACAGATGCCTTAAACATCCTTATGGCTTTTGTCTGTACCGGCACATTGTTTAGTAGACACACACACACACACACACACACACACACACACACACACACACACACTCCTTTAGACAGACACACAATATGCTGTGCGCATGGGATCAACAGGCACATTCCTGTTATTGTTGTTCTTCTACAGCAGACCTTTCTTCAGCTGGTCTGAAAAGGGTTTTTAAGACTGCAACCAGTTCCTCAATATATATATAAATATTTATATATATATATAAATATTTATATATATGTATAAATATATATATATATATATAGAATCCAGTCAATACAATGACTGACTATATATATCACCCAAGCATAATTACCAGTGTTTTGGATGTTACGGCCTATATAGTAGAGACCTGCAAAGACAAACAGAGCTCTCTTCTAGAAAAGAGGCATCGTTAAGTCAGGGGGCGTAACACTGGACATGGATCATATCCATGAAATACTAATATCCTCTCTCCTACCATGACAGCAATAGAACATGAGTTCAGTGAATGCAGCCGTTGGAGTCCATTTAGTTACTATGGATACATACTCCTCAAACACACACACACACAGGGTTTAGTACATCTTACTCCACAAACACTCCATTGATTCCCACAGTCACGTTATTGCATCTGTCCGGGCTCAGTCGACGGTCACCTGTCGTGGGTTTTAACAGCTGCTAATCTGCCCTCTGCAGCTTCTTTTTTTACAAAAAAACAAGTTAGCGCTCCTCCTTTGTTTTCCTTGTTTTTTTTTTATGACAGATGTACACTACTTTTTAATGTTCATAAGGGATATAGATTATTTTTTATGAATTTATTTCAGAGTATATGAAATATTTTGAATGAAATGTTTAAAGTCAATTTTGTAAACTGTTAAATACATATATAAAACTGAAAGTTTTATGAACATACTTTTTTTTTACAAAACAAAAAATAAACCATTGAATGGTAACTCCGTCTGTGTCAGTGTGAATATTCCTACCTAGAGGTTACGTCTAATAGACTACAATGCCAAAATAATTGTCACTTTTGCATTATGAGTGTCTGATTCTGAAATGCAATGACTGTGGTGCGGTTGAGCTTTACCTGTAGTAGTGGCTTCTCCCCCCTTTAAACTAAACATGTCTGCTTGTGACCCGTCCAACATAAGAGGGACTTTATCAGAGGCCTGAATAGATCCAATTATTCAGTAATTCATGAGGAAAAAAAGCTAAAAGTTTGAAAAACAAACATTTTGTATATTATGTTTGTCTTCTGCCTTTCTATCTTGATAATCAAGCAACAGTAATAAGAAAAGGGGTTTCCACAGTATTTAGCATCAAATGAAAAAAATGTTAATTTAAACGTAATTTGGTGCTGATCCCTAGAAAACAGGCAGACTAAAAAGCTCAGTTTCACTGCCACCTAGAGGCCAACATGAACAACTGATCAGGTGGACATTTTTTGTGACGCAACAGTCCAACAACAAGGTCACACACACACACACGCACGCACGCACACACGCACACACACACACCTTTGCATTGTCAGCATTACTTTAATTACTTCCCTCTCACGGACAAAGGACTTTAATCTGTGATAGCATTAGCATTTGTTACCAATTTCTCCACAGTGATTAAGCAGGATGGCAGGACAGCATTGCACCGATGCATTCCCGTTTGTCTTTTAGCCCCTGCAGCTTATTGCAGCAGAGAGATTTGATCCCTTTTGTCTAGCTAAAGCAATATTCCAGTCTCCAATTATGAGACATAAGGCAAAAAATAGATCCGGACACCGTATAAAATCAGTAAGCCTTTTATTAAATTAAAAACATCTGTTGAATCTTACCAACAAAATGTAAAATGAAGGAAAAAAACAAACTTCACCCAAATGAATGTACCACTACTTTCTAGTTTGCCTTAATGTTCACAGTATCAGTGGAACGGCTGTCTTAACGTCTCCTGCTCTCGCATCTCACCTTGAGTTGATTTCCCGTGACCTCTTTAATGCGTACAGGATTTACAGATGAGCCTGCATGCGTCCAGGATATCATCAAGGAAATAAAGGGTCCTCGGGTTCACACGACAAAACTTGTTTCGGTTCACAAAACTTTGGCCTGACAGTTGCCGAGGACCGATGTGCGGTTGAAATAAAACAGTAACGAAACAGGCGTTTTTATGCCCCTCATACAAAGGATATACAAAGGACAGCATCATCCCAATTCAGTTCAGAAGGGACAAAAAGGGCCGATGTCTCTGTATCTTAAGACTCCAAAGCGATTACATACTGTATATACAAACAAATCTGCTTGAAAAATTGAAGGGTTGGCACAGTCATTGTTGAATATTGTGGTGACACTTTTATGGACAGAGATGCATGTTTGGACAGCGTGTTAATTTATGTACAAATACAAATTAAAGTGGAGGAAGGTGAATTCTCGCTTTGCCTCCTCCGTCTAACAAAAACAAATCTTATCTGACGTTAATGTCGTTACAGGCATGGGAAGGCCAGTCTCAGTGCAAATGCTCCAGCTTGCGTAGCCGTATGGGGTTGGGAACTGCTTGCTGGTTGCGTGCGGAGGAGGGCTCCTCCTCCGGCGTGCCGAATAGCACCCGACCCCGGTGGTTGAAAAGGTAAAAGGACGGGTGGTTCCTCAGTGTATCAAATGTTCTGGAAAAGAATAGAGTTATGAAAAGAGAGGCACTGTACCAATATTGTTCTGCTTTCAAAGTTACGCACATAGGACACCTACAGCAGCAGGTGCACTGTAACGCATGGGGTCATACAGGACATTACATCATTACAATGGCAGATCACGTGTCTCCGCACACTGTGAGCAAAGGAAGTACAACGTTAGGAATCTAAACTCTGACACACACCAGCTGAAAACCTATTGATTCATTATCTTAGCATTGTTGACCACAGGCATTCTTTGTGGAAAAAGTATGATGTGAAAAAGCAAGTGAGTCTGTGGCACAACATCGTGTCATGTAGCGATGCAGTTATTACTCTCATGCTGCACAAATATTTCACAATTTTTATAATGTTCCTATAGGCATGGGACTCGTTTAAAAATGTAATTCCATGTATATGATTTTGACAGATAGAAAAAAATTAAATCTGAAACTTGGTAGTTAAACTATTTGGTCTTTACACAAAGAAAAAAAAAGAACAAAATGTACAGAATACTTATTGTTTTCCTGACATTTGTTGGAATGCTTCTTCAATGCACCCAGTACATTATATTATTACATTATCTTTCCTGTCCGCTATTTACATTGTGTTTGAAGAAAAAAAAACAACGACTCAGGGAGGTTCAGTGTGCCTCTGTGGGAATTGACTCACGGGGATGTTACTATATATGCATTTGAGGGATGAGCGTGCTTCCCCTGTGGCAGAGGACACAAACAAGCACGTTACCCAGGGAGGAAGGTGCTGCTGCATAACTTACTTGTTCTTGAGCTCTGAGGAGGCGTCCATGTCTTTGAACTCTCCAGCGATGTGAGCGATCCCATAGCAGGTCATCACAAACGATAACAGGGTCTGTAATACAATCTGCAACAACAACAAAAAGTAAAGATGATGATGAAGAAAGCACAGAGACATCGTTGGGGGTTGTTGTGAAAGGCAGGCTGGAATTAAAATGGAAAGAATTATGATGAAAGTCACTCACATCAATTGGTAGTGTCTCGTTCTCCTTCTCTGTGAGTCGCATGTATGATCGATCTAATGGAGGAAAAACACACATTTTAGCCAGAACATTTAAAAGAACACCATTACACTGTGGCAGAGATCGTAATGTGTAGCGCTATGCTAGTCACACTCAACGTTGGTGGTGATATTTTAACATTAACAGACGAAGATTTCAGTCTTTCATCCCTGCGACTGATCGTGAACGGGGCTAAACTGCGCTAGCATCTAATTAGCTAGCCGCAGGACCGAAAGGCCCCACCTGCTGTTTTATCACCCTACCCGGTGACAGCGGAGCCCTCCTGAAATACATACAGATGCCGAGGACCGTGACTTCACTCCCTGTACTGAAACTTACGCTGTGCTGCTGAGAAAGCTGCATGAGCTAAGGCAAAAAGTCCGACGCCGACCATTCCTTTCCAAAACGACGAGGCCATCTTGATCCAGGGTGATGAGGAACCGTGTGCAGTGTCGTAAAACAATGTCGTAAACAGCCGCAACCATGACAGGGTCAAAAAAACATAATGAAATCCAAGAGAACATATTTATGTTAAATCAACGTTGGATAAAAATATACGCAATGTGAGTGGTTTTAATGTTTGTTTATTGACTTGTGCTTATTTATTTGTCATGAATGCAACCCTGAAGTAGTCAGGGCTTTTACTTTGAAGGTATCAGATAACTTCCGGTTTAGCCACTGCCCTTTTCCGGTTAGCTAACGCAGAGCTTTCATTTCATTCAACGTTTAGATACTACACCTCATCTCTTCAAAATATTTTTACGCGGTCTATATTACCTTTCGACTAAACACGAAAATGGCAGAGGCCATTCAAAAGAAGTTGAAAGGGGAAGTAGAAAAATATACTCAGATGCAGAAAGGTAGGTGCCAGCTAGCATTGCATGGTTTCTCATATCGTGCCATGTTGCAACGAGCTAGCTGACTATATTAGGACAGCTAGCTATGTGTTAAATACACTTGTAAGATAGTTCCTGTACGTTTAGTCTATTGTTTATGGTTGCAACACTCACATTATTTTCTAATTCCCGTCTTTTGCTTAGATGTTAGCAAGAGCATGTCAGCCAGACAGAAGCTGGAAACGCAACTGGCTGAGAACAACATTGTCAAAGAGGTAACGTTAACTGACCAATTTTCCCTTTAAAAGCGTATTGTTCGACTGGGGTCAGTGTTGTTAGGCCCTTCATTTTGTATATTGGAGTTTACAGTATTATATATTTAATCTTTCTCTCTCTCTGTCTTTCCAGGAGCTTGACCTGCTGGACATCACAAACACAGTGTTTAAGCTTATCGGCCCAGTATTAGTAAAGCAAGACCTGGATGAGGCCAAAGCCACCGTCACCAAGAGGCTGGAGTACATCAACGGAGAGATGTGAGTCACTAAAGCTGTGGTCCACTCTCAGTGTAGTCCCCCGTTGATGGGGGTTAATTATGATCAGTCCTCTAGAAACCCTCCGTCCAAGTGTTGACAAAGTGCACATGCTGTGGTTATGTCTAAGAGGAAAGATTTTCTCTGTAATACATTGTGACCAGGGCTCACGGCAGCTGATAGTAGTCACCGATTGAATATGATGTTGCACTGAGCTGCAGTTTATCGATCCTTGAATGTGACATTCATTTTTGAATATATGGTTGAAGGTACTGTAGCCGTTGTCATAACTGACTCAATTTAAATCACATCATGTTTTCATGTCCTGAAGAGGCACTTATTGTGCAAATATACTGCAGCTTTGAGTCATTATGAGGTTGTTCTCATTCAAGTAAGTGTGTCCCAGTTGTGAAAAATACCAACAAGCCACACACATTTATCCTAAAATTGATGCTCACCTGCTATATTCCGCTTCAGGTATTGTTTCCCGATTCCACGGCATCTCTAGATCGAGTGCGTCATTACAGTCTCATTTTGAAGGCTCCTCCAATTGTGGCTGAGAAATGCACCTAAATGTTGAGAACCCAACGGGAGCCTTGTTCCCAGTCTTTGCATGTTCCCTTTCTCTGTTACAAGTCATTAAAGGGACATTTAATTTGTATTGATATGTTTACCAATGACATAATAGACTTTTTGCCAGTCGTCCATCATGTTGAAGCAAAGACTCAGAACAGTAACCTCGACGGTCACGGTAAACCCAGTGGCATTTACACTTTATGGCTGTGACTTCACAAATGTCAACATGATTGTCAGCATTAATAATATTATGGGTAAATATCAATGATTTTAAGAAAGAGGTTCCTTCCCTAAATTAATGTCACACAGAAACATAAAATGTTATGTCTTAATCTCGTAAATTTTACCTCCTAAATACTTACAAATAGCTCAATGTGGATATTGGTGCATAGCTTAGCTGTGCTATGATGTTCATTCAAATATAGAGGGCAGTGATGAGTTTGATGGATGGACAGTTATCTACAACATCCTTGCTGCAGTCTTCACTCCGCCCCTGTGATTACAGGAGCAGTGCCAGTCCTTCTCTTTTTTGTGTGTGTTATGCCGCAAAAGGAGACAATTTCGGTGCTGTTCAACTTCATCATATTTTATGAAAGTGTGTAATTCCCATTGCCTAGTCCCCTATGTCTGAGTCAAAATATTGCTACCCATAATACAACTAAGAGTGTTGTTCAGAAAGGTGAGCCAACTCACTTGAGTGAACATACAAATGTGTTTAATTTAGAGATGCACCGATTTATTGGTCGATACTTTCTGGCATACGCAGCTGCTGATTTGAAGAAGCCACTGGCGTGACTAACACTGTGATATGGTGTCAGAGCGCAACCGCTGCCTGGTTTTGTTTTCAAATATAAGTGAAAGAAATGATCGGCCATGTGGGAGTATTATAAGAGAAGGATCAGTGACATTTACTCTGTAAGACAACTTTCTTTGTAGAGGCACATTTTCCAGAAATGTGACCGCACTCTCAACCAGAGACTCTTCCAATATCTTTAGTAGTTGTATAAGTATATTATTTTTGTAATAAATATTTATTTGTGTCCTTAGCACAAAAGTAGGTTTAAATAACAACAAACACAGAAAACATTAGTATCGGTTATCGGACAAATTGTGGCGTTAAACATTAGTATCGGCCTAGAATTTCACAATCGGCGCATTTCATTCCGGTGTTTAACTGAGTAAGAATATCCCTTTTTTTCCTCCTTTTTTTTTTGTCCGTCTACAGTCATAGGTATGAGAGTCTCCTGAAAGACCTGGAAAAGAAATCCGAACAGCATCGAGAAGTCTTGTCCAGTTTACAGCAGGAGTATCAGAGAGCTCAGGGCCTGGCTGTTGGCAAAGTCTGACCAAGTGATCCGGCTGCATGTTCTCTCACACACACACACACACACACACACACACACACACACACACACACACACACACACACACACACACACACACACACACAGATAAAAGAAGAATGGATTATTCATGATTTAATGTAGACCTTCAACATAAGGCTGAGAATATTGTGCCTGTATCTTATCAGTGATTTGTTTATTACAGTGACTCTTCCCTTGTTACTAATAAACGTGTTTTTCATGAAAGGTCAATCTTTTTTTGTTTTCATTGTGTGAGCAGAGTTTTCTCTCTAACGGTTGATCACACAGAGCAGGCGTGTTGTGTGCTGCTATCTGTTGAACATTGGCTTTAGTTACCGGGGCAGGCCGGTGACCACCGGAGCAGATGTTGTCCAGTTTCGACCCGCCCCTCAGATCTTAGCAGCGAAAAAAAGCGCAGCGGTGCGGCATTGTTCCCTTTAATGAATGCGCCTTTCCCCCCGCCGTCTACCACCAGCGGAGGATTTAGGCAACATGAATAGTTAAATAGCCTTAAAAGTCTTTTATGGTCTTATGGAGCCAAACCTTTCCTTAGGATAATGCTAACTCAGGGCAAACAGCAGTCATCGCGCATGACTTTACATGTAGGGTTAAGTATCCCGCATATTAATGAACCTTTGCTCACTGACCAGCTGTTGTACTGTAGGAACTATAGTTATAAAATGACGTAATGAGACGTTTCGGCGACACGTAGAGCCTAATTATGCAGATTACACAACATATGCTAGTCTACAAGCTAACATTTAGTCTTTATACAACGCCTGCGTATCAAACAAACACACGGGGTCTGAATGGATTAAACAGAGAAATCTGATGTAAATACATATGCTACATTTATGCCACACCAAATATGGATATTCTGAATTTAAGGTTACTTTTCTAGGCTGCAAAGGGGTTTAAATTGTAGGGCATCGTGTTTGTTTTTAATGTTTATTCATCATACCTTTGTACACACAAAGCGCTGCTACAGAAACACAAGCTTGCATTAATATGTCTTATAGCCTGCATTGTTTGGGCTAGAAATGATTGACGACACACAAATGCGTAATCATAATAACGCTGCTTCAGAAAAAAAAGAAGCTGTTTTTGTCCACGGAGCCTGCACCTCTGGCGCGTGGGGGGCAGCAAACCGATTGACACCTGGAGGTGTGGCGCGTTTATAACATCCAGACTTCAGCTGTAAAGCTGGCCGACACGTGGCAGCTGGTACAGGCTATATGACACAGACACACACACACACACACATATATATATATATATAATTTTTTTTAAATTAAGGGTTCTGACTGCAACTTAAATAGCTCTGTCCCAAGAAAGTACAGACAGATAAACCAAATATACAAACGTTAAAGAACTCTTACTATGAAAATATCATTGTGAACTGAGGGCTCGTTATGCGAACTGCAATCGTCAAATGGTTTGTTGAGGCCAAAAGATGATTTATTATGACTCTTGATGTGGCAAAAACCAACAGCTGATTGAGACATTTAGCAGTGTTAGTTTCTCAGGCGACAGTCTGTTGAAACTGGCAAAAGTTCCATGCAAATTAAGTTTAAGGTAATTTAGAAATACGTTTCCACGTGCTTTTTGTCTTATGTAAACAAAGTGGAGGCCTTTAAGTTGATACATCCTCGCTGGACTAAACCTTCTCTATTTTACACTGACAATAGACTCATTTAATCTTCATTTAGACGGATGCCTCCCAGATGAAAGCCTAATCTGATTCCAATTTTAATTGATTTACTTAGTCCTGTGGGCTTTTCCCCTCGGGGGGGGGGGGGGGTTTAAACTCAAAAGCCACAAAGGCGCATCCTGTCCAGAGACCAGCCCCTTTGATAAAAGATGTCTTCAAACAGCAGTGGAAGGAATGTGTGTATGTAGTGGGACCAACCGGAGGGTCACAAGATGATGAATGGGTTCGTTTACCTCGTCAGAAAAATATAGACCCACATCCAAAGAAAATATTCAACTGAAAGATTGAAGTAGAAGCGATTAAAAGTACTTGAAGGGGTCTGAAGCCAAAGGTTTACATGGCCCTTACGTTTATATGAAGTAGCCTAGCCTCTTTGCTCCCTGCAGAATAAAAGCTATTTGAGTTAAAGTGCATGATTTCATTTGAACGTAAATGCCTTCACAATCTGCCCGCATGCTGATCTGATGGCGAACAATTTACGAGACCTTCAAGTGTGCATTGATGTGTTGATGAGCAGGAGCCCGTTGCCTATCGTGCAGTCGTTCAGATGTAGAAAAGCACACGACAGCGGCCATTACCGAACTGATCACACCCTGCAGCATCCAGACACATTCATCCAATCTACAAATCCCCTTTAGAGTCTCAAATACTAAAACCCATGGCCACACCGAGCGCAGTTGATACTATTTCACATGTGTGTTTTTATTGTGGTTATTAAGATCGAAATGTTGTTTATCAGGAATGGGTTCACCCCCCCCATCACCACAGACAGCTGCTGTCTCTGCCCCTTTTGTGGCTCTCCCAACACGAACAGTGTAATTCTGCACCTGAGAATTTGGGTAGAAGTCAGAAAAACAACTGAACACTTGTTGCTGGTCAGCCAAAAGGAGATGAATTTAAATTATACTGTTTGTTTTGTATATCACTTATAATTGACCTAACACTGCGTGCCAAATAGCCAAACGTCTTGTTTGCATATTGTATTGATTTTTAGACATAAGAGATTCAGTAAATGGTTCACAGTAAACTGGATATATAATTGTTGATGAGTCACAACATAGACTCAACATTTGGGTGGCTAAAATGGATTATGTAAATTGGGTGCCTCCACACTGCATTCACCTATAGAGCAGTCTGGCTGCTGAACAGTGTGTGAACGACCACTCTCCTTTGCTTTTCTACATTTGAAAAAACTGCACTTAAGTTCATAGAAGCATCGGCGTCCCCCACCATCAACATTTCAATAGACGAACGCGTCATAACGGCTGCCCAGCCTGGAGGAAGTACGTGTTAACTGTCCTGTGGATGTCCCCCTCCTATTGAAGGCTGCTACTGCAAAGACTGCTCAAGTACAAGCTGTTCACACAGAAGATAGGCCACTCGAATGATCAGGAAATTGTGCTTTTTATTTGAAATTGGAACTGAGAATTCCGCAAGCACAATCACAATAAATTCATGTCACAATGCGCATTTTACGCACGCGTCTGTATTCATGTTACAGCAAAAAAAATTTAAAAATCATCCTGCGGACACCACCGCATAAAGAAAAAAAAAAAACACTTATATACATACAAATCATAGCAAAAAAGGAAGAAAAAATGCGCGTGCAAAACAGCAAATCCTAAATAAAAAAACACCACATGGAGTGTGGAGAGGTTTTCACGGAAAATATATTCAGTGTAGGCTGTACAACAGTCAGGCTGTAGGCTACAACAGAATACATATTTACAGTATGTGGGCGTCCTACAGTACATTTCTAAAAGTATCCAAATCTAAAAATGTGTGCTGTCACTGAGGCCAGGGCCTCCACACAGGGTCGGTGATGTGCGTGCAGGCTTCCGTGGAGGAGAGCAGCTCCCTGGTGTCACAGTGGAGGCCAGTCCTTTGGTCGAGGTACGGGGGAGACATCCCGCCCTGGCATTGGGCCAGCTGCTGAGGAGACAGAGCGGCCTGTGCCATGTGGATGTGGCCAGGAGAAGGGTGTGTCTGGGGCTCGGGACTCGAAAGAGAAGCGTGGACCGCGTCCTCCTCTGTGCCCTCCAGCTCCTTGCTCTTGCTGGCTACGAAGTGGCTGACCCTCAGCAGACAGGACCTCATGCCGTCATGGAAGCTGTGCTGGCGGGCGGCTTTCTGTCTCTGCCCCCGCGACGTGGACCGGGGATCCTTCGCGTCCCCCTTCTCCCTCTTCAGGTAATTGACTACACTCTCCAGGATCTCTGCCTTCTCCACCTTCGGATTTCTCAGTTTCTAAAAGGAGAAGAGTACTCTCACTTAATATAAGAAGTATAGACTTAAACATATCAACCCTTTTTTTTTTATCAGATATCAAACTGAAATAAAAGCATGGCGCACAGACGTACCTCATTGTCGGTGCTGTCCAGCATCAGAAGTCGCAATGTGTCCAGACTTTGGTTGATCCGCTCCCGTCTGCGTTTCTCCATCAGAGGTTTAGGAACCTTGGGGTTGAAAAGTAAAAGATCACAATTAGCACCCGGAAGAACATTTTAGATGATTTTTAGAAAACTCATAAATGCAGTACAGGAGTCAGAACGCAGCATCTTACCCTCCTCATGCTCCTCGGTAGGTGAGACTCTGGTGAAGTTACAGTTTTCATGACAAGAGTTGACTCGCGTCCGTCTGTCCTTACAGTGATTCCAAAAAAACGGCACAGGTTGTGTCCTCGTTACCATGTGTTGATATCTTGGCAGATAGCCCCGCCCCCTGTGGGTCGCGCCCCTCACCTTTACTGAGCAGCATGCAGCAGTGACGCTGAATGGAATTTTAATTTATTTCCATCTAATCCTCTTCTTTTCACTTCTTTTCACTTCCGAGCTGAACTGGAAGTGTAGATTAAAATAAACCATAAAACACATCAACTTAATTAAAGTTAGTGGTTTGATCGAGTCATTCGTAAAGTAGATTCATTTTGATGCAATCGCGATGAAGACAGAAACAATCTCCCTTGAACTGCTTTGTGCATATAAGGACTGTCTTAGTTGTATTGCTTGATTCATTTAATAATGTTGGTTGACATCTCAAGGAGGTTCTAGTGCAGACAATAACAAAAAGGCCTACTGCCAGTGGCAGCTGGCCAATAGAGGGCCAAGGGGCGTGGCCCCACCTTGAGCACCCCTCCTCGAGCCACAAAAAAGAAATGATACAAATTGTCAATATTTGTGTTTTTGAAATATGGAATGTACCCAGTAATATTTGTAAAATGTGATATCTGCGCAAAATATATGCTTTTCCTGCACGTCCTCTCTGCCTGTCTGCTCGTCCTCGCTGCCTGTGTGCACGTCTCAGCAGCTCTGGGGCCATGGAGAAATGGCCCAAAAGAGGCGGGTCTATGAAGCAGTTTAGCCAATTGCTGATTAAAGATATAAATGAGTGACATACAATTTAGCCGAGACAGGTTTGGCTAGCTGGATGACGTCATGCTAATAACTTATTTAGCTTTTTAAAACAACGGGGACAGATCCAGCATGGACAGTTAGGGAGTGAGGGATGAGGAGGTAAGGAAACATGAGAACACCAGGACACACATGGAGAACTCTGTCAAGCTACATATTAGGCAAAGTGAACAACTTTTCTTTTTGTTGTCCTCAGTCTCATCTGCTTAACTTGGTCATGGAGGCATCAACATTTAATTGAGATGGTAAATTAACAGTGAAAACTCATCATAGCTTAATTTAACATCAGTATTCATAATTACACTTCATGTTTACTTCTCCTGATCTTTACCTCCTATAACAAGGCCCATAGGGCCATCTCAATAAATAAACATGTTATATTATATTATATTTTATATATAGATATATACTGTGTATATATCTATATATGTATGTGTGTGTTTTATATTATACTGAATAGTATTATATGATATATACTGTATATATATATATATATATATATTATACTGAATTCCCTGTGAGGGTGACAAAAATAAGATGTCCTGACGTGTTTATCAAAGTGTTATTTACTGCTTTTTTTCGTGTTGGAATAAATGTTAAATATTTAACTGCAAAGTAGTAATGCGTGTTTGATACTTACATTTTTTTGCATTAAATCATTCTGGGATGTTTGCTGAAATTGATAGGATGGCCCTACCTCGAAAATTTTCCACCAGCCGCCACTGCATACTGCTAAAACATGGAATGCACGTTTGAATGCACTGTGTTATCAAATCACAAGCCAAAATAAACACAATAATGTCAAATTAAAGCACAATTTCGACATAATGAAATATAGATAGGTGCAACTGGTGAAGCCATTTCTGCTCAATGATTTGAAACCATCCTAACATATCTCTAATTAGGACCTGGCCTGGTGTTGAGCCATATTGTCCGATTCACACCTAAACGCGCTGTGTGAAGGAGCCGTGTTTGTCTTTAGACTTCTCTTTTGACTCCTGACTGAAGCTGATGTTCGCACTTTTCTAAAATGATTTCAGCCTAAAGTTTGGGCTGACTGGGCTTTGAGTTTTGTGTTTTTTGGGGGGTAGCTTTCTCCGCACTGCATTTATGGGCAGCCTGATCCCCATAATAGGCTTGAGTGTGGAGATAACACTGGGATGATCGGATCACGGGGATCTCCTAGATTAAGTGGCTTTTCAGAGGCAACGACACTTCCGTTTCAAATGAAAGAGATGGCGATTAGTAACAGCTCAGAGATCACGGTTGGTAACCATGGAAGAGAGGAACTCAAGGAAACTCACTTTAGAGCACTTTTATTTTAAACATATGATCACAATTTCCATTATAGTAGTTGCATCCCCCCTACAGGAGTATGACGATGTAGTTATAGGAAGAGGAAACATATATTTAACTTGTTTAAGCCACGTGGACCCGCCCCATAAATAAGCCCCATAATGTGCTCGCCTGAGCCTGTGATGGAAACTAATTAGTGAAAACGCGCCCTTTGGTTTGCAGAGAAACGGACCGTTGACTTCTAATACCGTGACTCGTCGGGTGTGTCGGCCACACTGACAAAAGAGTTGAAATCAAACGGGGCTGGGAACACGAAGCCAACAACTGCTTTGATTCTTTTTTTTAAAGAGGGATCTTGTGTGAAGTCCAAACATCGGGTATCGTGCTGACCCGAGGCCGCGCACACTTAACACTCAGGTGTAATAATCATCCGCGCACTTCGTCACATCAGCGGACACATGTGACCTGTTCCCCTTTTGCCACTGCGGTACCTCGATCTATTGGTTTATCAGTTAAATAGTTTTTTTAATTTGATGTGCTTAACTGTAAATGCGTAAATCGGAGAGTCTTGCATTCGCAGGTAAACATGTGTGATTTGTTATACTGGGCTGTGTAAGTTAATCCACTTCTTCATTGTGACCAACGCTGCTCTCATTTGGTCTCTTTCAGCACTAATTCAACGTGTGGATGTTTCACACATCATAAAAAGTCCTCATGGCTGCCCACTTTCTCACTTCATTTCTGTTCCCACGAGTAAAAAAAAAAGTTCCCATAGTCTCACTTCTGGGAGGCGTTAAAGGTAATTCAGAGAGCTCAGAATACATTTGGCCTAATGAAATCAATAAATGCTGTATGAGACGATGGCCATCCCAAATCATTAGATACTGTTTCAATGCCCACTTCTAACGTCTGAAATGTTCTTACAACATATATATTGTGCTTAACCTTTCACGAGTGATGTAGGTTGATAAACTATAAGGCTGCCTTTTGGTCTGATGATGTCATCACTTGTAAAGATCCGCTATTGGTCATTGGTAATATTGTTGCCTTTAATATGTTATATAAGTTATTTTAGAGAAATCTCACAACCTGATCACTGTTTGAAATGAATGGTATCGATTGAGTGAATTTATTCACGGCCCTTAATGAAGTTAGGACAGATCATTTTCAGACCGACCAAGTGTCGTCACTCACACTTGTCAGCCAATCAGAGGCCGCACGAGCTCTACTTATAATGGCCCTCAGAGAGCTGAAGGCCGTTTTCACAGCTGCAGCCTTCAGTCGGGACATTTGGACCAAAGACTACAACATGACCAGGAAGCTACAAAGCCCAATTCTGGAGGATGGCAAGAGTAGAACAAGGGTAAGAACTTATTTGATAGCCTAATTTCTCTTAATATTACAAAGGTTATTTAAGATGTATAGCTTTATTAATGTTGAGAGCAGTTATACGCCATTAATGAGGACTATTTTTAGTTTGCCATGTTTGTCAAGGAATTAACATTATTACTGCAGGCATGCTATCCAACAAGGTTATTATTCCACAACCTGGCAACCCAAGTTGTTCTAATGATACACAACAACTTCACCATACTCACACAATGCGGCTTGTGTGTGTCTCCAGGTTCTCAAACCAGTGGTGGAAAAGAAGAGAAGAGACAGAATAAATCAAAGTCTGGCCGAACTGAGAAGTTTGCTGTTGAGTCACACGTCTGATCCAGTGAGTCATGTTAAACAAAATCCCATCCAGCCTCTCTACGCGTTTAAGGGGAATCATAAGCTTACAATGATGAAATGTACCCCCCCCCCCCCTTTGCACTGTTATCCCCTACAGCGGCTTCAGAATCCTAAAATAGAGAAAGCAGAGATTCTTGACTTGGCTGTGGAATATGTTCAGAAGTGGACAGATGGGAGGAAACTGAGAAAGGGTTAGTCAAAGACAAAGTAGTTCTTTAACTCCTTTTAACTTATTACATTTTTCATAAAAATCTCCTTTTTTTTCCTGCTGCAAATCAGCGTTTTAATCTTCCACCCCTGTTTTATCCCTCACCCTGGTGCCTTCTCTTTGCTGCAGACTCTACTGACAGCCACATGAAGACTCGTGCTCCTGTGGTAAGCCTTCATCGCTCAGAGTCCAACGCTCCCACTCTCTTCACCATCGAGAGTGCAGGTTTTCAGCAGTGCGTGGCCCAGCTGACCAGCTACATGCACAAAATAACCCCAGCGCAGAGAACAAGCCTCATGGAGGGGCTGAGACATCACACAGAGAGCCAGCAGCCAAACAATACTAGAGTGGCGGACACTGAGATGACCAAAGGACCAGATGTAATGTCTGACGTCATTTACACATCTGAGAGGAGAGAGGAGTCTCTTAAGTTTCCATCTCACTCCCCATTTCAGCCCCTCTCTTGTTCCACACCGTTCCACGACTACCTGTCCCCTCCTCCCTCCCCCTGGTTCTCCCCTTCTTTCTCCGCTTATGCCACCTCTCCTCCTTTCCCGTCATTTGCCTCTCACTTCCCGTTCCCACCCAGCCTGTCACCTCTGTCCTCCAACACCTCCTTCCTCAGTTTCTCACCCACAGCCTCTCACTCTGGCCCCCCTGCCCTCCACTGCCCCCCTCTCCTCACACTGAGATCCCCTCCACACCCTGCACTGAGGGAGTCACCACCGAACTCTTCTTCGACCATGTGGAGGCCTTGGTTTTGATGGAGTGGATCAGAGACTGACGAACTGAGGACAGCAGAGCCACCTAGTGGGAACTAGCTGTGATCATTGGCTGTGGAGAGGAGGAAAAACTCTCCATGCTGGAAATGTATAGTGTACATATTATTCAAATTTCCTATATTTTGTATTTTTCTTCTAAATAAAAGTTGTGCTGAAGCCAATGAGTCTCAATTTGTATGTTTATAGTCCACAGCTGCCTTTATCAAATACACATGTGAGTCTGTGTGTAATAGCAACGCTATGTCCGTGTGAAGCTTTTCTTGGAACCAAATAATCACAGGCCAAAGCTTACAGTTTAGTAATCTGTGTAATGTGATATAGGCAATACTATTGTTTCAGATAATATCTGTTTGGTGTGTCTAATATCCTTGATTGTATACCAGTTTAAAGTGGTAACAGGCCTACAACCCATAAACTTAAGTTTTCCACTTGTTAAAAAGTGGTTGCAGCTCCTAAAAGATGTCTCGAAATGACTTGATTTCGTTCATGAGTTATTTGACAGATTATATAATTAAAATGTTATAGTATACCATATAAAAGTCATAAAAATACCATAGTATATAGTATGCCATAAAATGTCACAAACAAATCATAGTATAATACATATAAATATAGTATAGTATGACATAAAAAACATGAATGGCATAAAATGTCAAAAAATATCATAGTACAATATGCCATGAAAAGCCATAAAACAGTCATAGTATATTATGTCATTAAAAGCCATATTATTGTGTGCAATAAAAATGTTATTAAAACATGTCGTATCGTAATTACCCGACTTAAGTCTTTTTGCCTCATATCTTTCTCTCCTCCAACACTTTAGTTAATGCATTCATATATATATATGAGTCTCTAATCGCTCCCTGTCTCCTCCCAGGATCCTCCAGCAGTGATGACTGTGCTACAGCCTGCAGAGCTGTCCTGGCAGATGGAGCCACAGTGTACCTGGATGTGTGACGCTCAACTGTCCTGTGCTGCACCCTTAACCCAACTCACACAGACTCTGGGCCAGCTGATGACTTTCTGTCAGCTGTAAAATGTGAATTTGCTGCGTTTGCTGTCATTGAAAATCCTTGTTTTTTTTAAACTTTTCTGCTGGGGCAAAATGAGAAATGTGTAGATGTCACCTTGGGCAAGGGGAAACTTTAATGGGCATTTTCAATATTTTCTGACAAATTAAAGACTGAATGATTAATCAGTTATTTGAAAAAGTAGTGGGCGGATCTATTGCTCATAAACATGGTTGTTGATTGCAGCCTGGATTAAACAAACAATGTACGACGAGATAAGCTCTAGAAGTGCTTGAAGGCCTACTTTTTTTAAGCATTTGTACAGAGCCAGGCTTACTGTTTCCCCTTCTTCCGGTCTTTATGCTAAGCTAAGCAACAGTCTACTTAAAGGTGCTCAGGGGAGTTTCCTTGTAAACAAACAAAAGTGATATTTACATTCACTGTTACTCACTAAAAGGTATTCTGTGTATCCTTGAGGTCTAATAAATGTATCAAGGACTTTTCCTCCCTCATAAGACATTTGCAAAGGCGATTTTGAACTCTGCATTCTTTACATCCATGTTTACTAGCTAGCAGTCTAGTACATTGCTGTGTATCGTAGAGCATTACCACTGGGGTGTGCCAAAAATAGAGTCCTAACGAATATCAGAGTATGTCATACAAAAGTCATTAATATTAAAAGTATATTCTGTTATAATAATATCATATATTAAGCCATAAAAGAGTCATAAAACTGTCATAAAAAACCATAGCCACAAATAAACATGTGTAATATAGTGTCATGATACCTTAGAAATGTCTTTAAAAAGTGATATTATGGTGTTCCATAGAAAAAGTCATTGTATGCTATGATTTTTAAAAACTTTTGTAGACGTAATATACTGTGACTTTTTAAAATCTTTAAAAAAATTTTTTTCGATATTCTAAACTATGACTTTTTTCGACATGCTACACTATTACATTTTTATGACTTTTTCCGACTAACCATAAATATATATATATGTATATATACATATATATATGTATATATACATATTTATACATTTTTGTTGTACTATACTATGGCTTTTTTACTTCGTCTTCCAATTCTATGACTCTTTATTGACTTTTTTCAACAAGCTTTACATCTTTTGCACATTATTCTCGACAAACCCATACATTATTTTGTGCTGACAAATTAGTTTCTGTTCTTTTACTTAGTGTCTACAAGACTGATACATAAAGAGACACAGAAATAAATAATTATATATATTATTTATTTTTATTCTGTATTCTGTATTCTTAACTGCACTCATAATTTTTGTGTGTAACTTGTAGTAAAATGTTCACTGTGAGCACCAGCTGTGAAATTATGAGCAAAGGCAGTGATAAACTAGATACTAGCTGTGTCCCAATCCAGCGGCTGCATCCTTCGGAGGCTGTATTTGTCGATGGATTGCATCACAGCGGCTGCGACTATGGCTGCCCCATTTCGAAGACTCCTTCAAATGCAGCCGACGAATGCAGCCTTCAAGCCCCAGATTCAGAGGACACAACTGATGGATCCTTCGCGGCCCAACATATCCCAAGATGCATTGCGTGCCGATGAAGGTTTTATTTTTTAATCCACATGGCGGCGAGTGAAGCGGCAGCTGGAGAAGAGGCGCCATTCACTTTTAAATGTAAGTATTGGGTTTCAACAGATACAAATGTTAAAACAAAAAACAAGGGACCTTATAACATCACATGTTTGTTAAAATGATCGGTTAAGTTACGTGACGTTCGTAGCTGACAAACTAGCTAACGTTACCGGGAGCTGCTGCTCTATTACCGGGAGCTTATAACATCACGTTTGTTAATAGTAGTAGTAGCTGACAAGCTAGCTAACGTTACCGGCAGCTCGTCTGCCTGCATCCGACCGTAGTTGGCCTTGGAAACGACCTTTTAATGCCTTCACTTTTAAACCTCACAGGTTGACTAATATTTTACTGAGATTGTGACGATTTTACAGATGATTTATACTTCATATTATGTCCATAAACGGACCAACAGGAGCTCAGGTTGTGAACCTAAAATATCACTTTAAGTCCGGTAACTTTACAAACGTTGAGATTAATTACACGGATAACCTGAACTTGAGTATTTTGCTCCTTTTGTTTTGTGGTGTGAAATAAAACTAACTCTACATTTTGTTTTGTTAGCCAGGAGCAAACGGCTCAGTTCATCAAGCTGAGGGCGAAGAACGACGGCCTCTTCACCGGGGACAAACATTCAGCAACCGTAGCTTGGAATTAAGACATTAGTCCTTAATATCTCCATTTGACCATCCTGTACTTAAGGTTACAGTTACATTAGCTCTCATCCTATACAACGCCTTTACTAATAGGACAACCAGTAGAGAGGACAATACACTTCTGATGTGTTATTGTTGCTGTCGCAGAGATGACAGTTGTGACTGTCACCTTTTTCTTTTATTTATTTAAACCCACAATAATACATCCTTGTAAATGATTTCTGTGTGAATTTGTGTATATCCTGAGCAGGGATTCTAGGCACGGGAGCAGCCTTGGTCCGGCCTTCACGGTCCTCAAAGGACGCGGCCGACGCGGACCGCAAAGGCTGGGTCCTCCGAAGGATGCAGCCGCTGGATTGGGACACAGCTACTGAGTGTGAAATTAGTTGAGAGGTCAGGAAGATGTTTAGCTTCTGACCAACAGAGGGCAGCATTGACAAAGTCGAGTCTTGCAGCATCGTTGTCATTTGGGCTCAATAGAGGATGTCGTTGAGCTATTCCATCAGTGATAAGCCCAAAATGTATGATCATCATTCTTCTTTCTTTGTCTCTCAATGCTCAACCCAATCTTTATCCGATGATCAAATCTTTAATACAAGCTCTGAATATTTTCAGCAGGGAGGCGCCGGCAGGTTGGCTTTAGTTAACAGAATTCATCACATGATAGAACATGTCTTTGGATAATGGTTATCCCCCCCCCCCTTTACTCCTCTGTGAACTGAAGAATCTCTTTCTATGCCATTAGTTATGAGGTGGCCATTGTTCCTTGTCAGAAAAATGAGAGGGCAGGCACATCACTGGAAGCTTGTTTCCCCTCACTGTCTCTCTGTGCGTTTTGATCATTCTGCACAGACATATGAGAGCAGAGAAGGTCGCTCACGCCGGAGAGGACGATTGCTGCGGCAAGGCACATAATTAATAGGTTAAGAGATCACCCCTTGGAGTGACCTGACAATGGTTGAAAACTCCTTGACGTTTTCTCAGGACACGCTGATTAGAGCTGATCCTGTTACCCTCTTTAATCACTGTTTTTGTTTGCCATGAATGCACCCATGCATTCCTGATTTGGAGAAAGCTTGAAGCACGTTGTGCTGTGGAGATGTCACGGGTTTGTCACGGCCTGCAGAGAATCTGTGTATACCTTTGTGTAGGTGCATTTCAAAAACCCTTAAAAGCATACACACAAACAGCAGGAGTGCACAGGACAGATGCTCTTCAGATCTCTCACTTCATGGCTGATTCTTGAATAACTTAAACTAAATACTTCGGCTGTGTGACAATCTCCTAATACATCTAAATTTCCGGTCTCCTTTCCTCATTCCACAGGTCTTAACCAGTTTGTATTTAAGTCCAATAGCAGAGGGTTATCTTACACAGAGGGCAGAACCAGCTTCTCTTGCCAACATTTACATAAGTGCACAGATCTAAGACCATTTAAGAATAATTAATACACTTCAAGCTACTTCCAGATTAAGAAAGCTGCCTAGGGTTACATTACAATTCAAGAAGAATAGTTCCCATTCAGTGTGATGCCTTATATTTGCGAAGCAAAAGGAAATTATTTAGATTCATGTGCAGTAGTATATGTAAAAATCACGAATAACATTAAGCAACCTGTCCTTAGTAACTTGTAATGTGTCAAATGTGAATAACCAGATGATAAACTGTTCAATCTTTTTAAATGACTATGGACTCTT